GCCTAACATGTAGCACTCTAGCTTTGTCACAGAACAGTAAAAAAAAACCAACACGAGGATCTGCATTAAGCAACTCTGCACAGAAACAAGCACACTGCCTGTGAGAAAAGAGGCAGCATTTGCAAACTGCAAGGTTGATGAGATAACTTATTCGTTGAAGAAGTGACAGGACAGGAGCAAGAGTAAGAGCTCTTTCAGCAAAAGGCTGCTGAGAGCAGTGTGTGCTTGCAGCCCATACTCCCAATTAGAAGAAGGATGGGGTGTGATTCATCAGGCAAGGGTTGGTTGTGTCCAAACAGTGTGGACACAACAAAGCTTAGGCTAACCCCTAGACTTTGCTGGCTGTGTCCACACTAGGCAGCCCTTAGCCTGGGACCTCTGCTGAGTTACAGTAGCTCTAAGACACACAACAAAATATTTTGTTGTTGTTGTTTTTTCCTCAGAACACAGTGTCAAAAATAAAGCAAAGCATTACACACCAGTCGTCTAGTTACAGCACAAAACTGCCACGTCTTCCCTGATTCTTAATGCCCCATGAGCTCTCTGAACCAATCATGACATCCTCCTCTTCTACCTTTCCCGCCCAGCAGCCTTCTGCTGCATACCACTATGTCTCTCCCAGCTTCCTTCCCAGTCTTTTTCCAGAGCAGGCTTTTATAAACCTTTGGGGAACCCAGGGCTGGCCCACTTCATGGCTCATCGACCAGTTCTCATTCCTTGAGTTTTTTCTCAGAGAAACTCATGTGCCTCTTCCTTTAATTGCAAAATCTTTTATGATTCTCTTAAACTTCCTGCCTGAAAAACGTTTGAATGTTTTCCAGCACCACAAATCTTTCAAACCCCAGTCCTGCCAGTATGGGTTATTCTTACTTATGAGTAATGGCACTAAAATAAAGGGAATGATTTAGGAAAGTATTATTTTAAATAAGACAATCTAAATCTGGTCCTAAATTCTCTGCTTTCTCATTAAATATATTATCTTTTATAAGTGCATAAGATACATTTAATGCCCTCATCCCTTTAAACAACGATCTGATCCAGCAGTCCCACGCATCTTTAAAGCTATTAAGTGCTATATGAAATGGCCGTGTAGAGACCCATATTCAGCATGCATGCACAGCTTTAACAGTCTGAAAATACTTGGAAACATTATTAATAAAACCAACATTGTGGTGGGAAAAAAGTATGTTCTATGAGATAGGTTCTAATTTATAAAAAGACTGTTTTTTGTGGATACTGGTACTTATGTTTTTATCCTCTGAGCAGAGAATCTAAGTCCTAAAGAAAGAGCCACAGCCTTTGAACAAACAAATACATTGTGCTCTTCCTGAGGGAAATCTACTGCCCTCTGCTTCTTCCATGTTAGTAAGTACAATTCAGTCATTGAAGTATGTTGCACTGGACTTTTCCTCATCCAAAAACGTCAGTGTTTGCTGCAGCTTATTCCCTGCAGCAGAGCTCAATTCAAAGCAGATTTTCATACAGCAATCACAGTTTTATAGTGAAAGCACTTACCATGATTACTGTGTCAAGTCTAAGAACCTCTCCCTTTGACCTAAGGAACAGTATTACTCCACAAATAGAAAAATGAAAGCACCAAAGGAACACAGCTGGTCCACCTGGCAAGCCAGAAGACAGACAGGAAACTCAGCAGAGGTTTCCTGACACCAGAAGCAGCTTTCAGAGGCAAAGCAGATCGTGTTTCTTCCCAAGGCAAATGCTACTTTCAACCAATAACTCTCTCTGCAGGGATCCAAAACCCAGCAACCTCAGGAGAGCTCACCAGTTTAACATATTTAGGGAGCTACTGCATAGCAGACTGCATGAGCAAATAAATCACAAGTAGAATATAGACAGCTTTTTTTTTTTTTTTTTTTTTTTTTTTTAAAGGTGAATATGTAACTGTGTTGCTAGCTGACAGCCTGACGAGAGGGGCATATCATAAATTACAATTCAGTAAGCATAGAAAGACAGAACATTTGCAGCAGCTCCCGTTTTGTGAGGCAGAATTAAAAAGCTGGTCTTAAATATCTACAAGCTGTTTCTGATCATTACGAATTGTGCCATAACTTTGAACACAGGAAATATGTTTCAGAGTGTAGTAAAACAAACAGGCTGACTTCACACAACAGCAGCAGCACATCTCCCCTCCAACAGCACAGTATTTCTCAAACATCCAGCTGTCCAAAGGCAACAGAGCACAAATACAGAAGCATTAGAGAGAAGCTTCTGCTTGGAACGATTCTCTCCCAGATAGCACCTTGACATCAAGAGCATTTCACATGGCCAATTATAAGCAAGCCCAACTTCATGTTCTTGTTTGCTGACACTCACTTTCACATACCCACCAGCATGCCCTGCACATTTTATCCGAGTGTTCTCAAAAGCCTGGGAACACTCCTGCCTGAACGTTTGCAACCTCAGTCCTTGTATTTATCTCTCTTATGTGTTACACTCACAGAAGAATGTAAAAGTACACTACTCTTATTATTTCACTGCCACTAACTTTTTTGTTCTTTCTATTTTCTAAAGGTTTTGAACATTTCCTGCAGTGTAGCATTCTCAATTTCTGACTTCAGCAGAAATCCCCATCAAATCACCAAGACCTCTGCCATTTCCAAAGAGTTCATCTTTGCTAAAGGTGCTTTTCCCCTCTGGTAGCAGCAGCCCCAGATCTCACATGCATTGCCTCAGCAGGGTGGCTGAGCACTTACTGGGTTACTGTCCCAGCACCAGAGCCAGATGCAATGAGCAGTTGCTAGTGTGGTGGAGCTGGGAAGAGGAAGCCTGTCACTCCTGACATTAAGGACGCCTTTTTTCAATGGAGAAGGAATGAATCAGGGTGGGAAAAGAGAGGATTTTGAAGAAGAGTCAAATGAGGATGGACTAGGATGGTGGGAAAGAGGACCTTCACCATGTAAGTCAGAGGATCCAAAACCAAACCCTGACATTGCCAGAATTTGTGCATGCAAATTACTCTATTCACTCTAAGAGGGCTGATCACACAACAACAGCAAGCAAAAGAAAAATGTGGGCCACTCAAGTCTGCACAAATTCCCAGAGCTGCTCAAAAACTCCCAGTGTTTTGCTGGTCTTTGAACCCTGCATGAAACATCTCCCTCCTTCCTCCTCCCCCCCCAGTAAAAAACAAGCCACCCAGCCAACCACTAACATATCTCTTCTCTGAATATCTCACTTATCTTCAGCAAGGAGAGTGAATTATCAAAATGAGCACCTTTGGCCATGAAGGGAGAAATGCTGCCAGCCAGGTACAAGGACAAGGGTTTGAGGAAAGAAAAGGGCAGGTGTCCCTGATTCCTTAGACACAAGAAAGGCACTGGTGCCATTCAAAGAGCAAAAACTGGGTCAAGTTAGAGCCAAACAAAAAGACAGAGCAGCACATAGGAGGCTTAAGCTGCGTGCTTAAGAGTTACTTCTTGCTGAGACTGACTTCTGCTTCATGTAGTTTCATGTAACTTTTTTTCTGTCTTCAGAATCCACTCAGTGAATGTTAAACAGCACTCAGCACTGCAGGAACTCAAACTGCATTTCTCTCCAATCAAAGATATAATGAAGCAGACACTGAGGGCTCCAGATGATTTTCCCATCAGTGGACCCACAACTGTGAAGTCAACCATTAAGGCTCCAAGCAAATGCTCTTCAATATGCATGAGCTACAGTAGGAGAAACTTAATACTGCATATCTTGAAACCTCTAAAAAGTGACTTTTCTGAGTTGGCATAGGATTGCTTGAGAACAGCCAAGCAGCTACAACCAGCACAAAGGAAGCAAATCTCACCACAAAGGATGCATCCATGCAGCCAAGTTTATGCTATAAGAGGTAAACCTCCATTCAGCAGCTCTGCAGATATACTTGAGCACAGAAACAGCCCAGACAAATGCAAACAATTAACAGATCGAGTCCAGGGGCTGATGTTTCCAAGCCTTACACACAGAAAGTCAGACAAACGACCGATTCCTACCAACTTTTTGCTGCCGCAACGGGGACAAGGAAGCAGCAGCAGCACCCTCCGCTGGTCTCTGCCGTAAATGCAGCAAACGAGCCGGTGGGAGCCGCTGCTAGACCTGTTCTATTACTTTTAGAGAAAGAGAGCTTTTTACTCAGCACACCGATCGAGCAGTCCCTCTGTGCGTGGTCTGCAGCTGCCTCCAGTCGCTACAGACGTGGGTTTTGTCAAAAGCAAGAGCAGCGATGTGATCGGTCAAGCACAGAACAAGCACAGAGCTAGAAAGTTATTAAGTAGTATCAACTCTGCTCCATACTTGAAGAGGGTACATCCCCCAGAAAGTCGAATGCTAAATAGCACTTAGAGTAACAACTTTATTTAGAAGCTTGCAATAACCTATTTAACTTTTCCTCATCATCATCACTTTTCCTTCCTCGGGATTTCAGGCCTTTTGATATACATAAAATTCCAATAAAAATAAGACAACCTAAGCAACTGCTCTCCTTGCTGTGCATAAGGAAGACAGGCTTAAGAGTTAACTTTAGTGTTCTTTCATTTGACCCGAAAGTAAACAGCAACTCGCTGTGCTTAGCCACATCCAGCACACACCATCTTGTTTCTTCTTTGAATATCAACCTAAATTACTGAAAATTATTAAAAACTCATTTTGCACAGCTATGGAAAATCTTCAGTCACATGGACATATAGAATAAAAAAAAAAGAAGGGTGAAGATATGGGGGGGAAAAAAGCATGAAAAAGCTCCAGAAAGCTTTGAAGCTCTGTGATTTTTCAGGAGAATCGTGTATTGGTAGAGAACAGCCCAAGCTGCCATATGTGCCCAGGTTTGGAGGAAAAAAAAAAAAAAAAAGTAGTAGCTAAAAATGTAGCTCACTAAAGTAACTTAAATTTTAACTTGGTCAGTTATCCCCCCCAGTGAGGATATCTTTAATGAATTTCTCTCAGTCTGACTATGAGATGACACACATCTCAGAATATTCCATACACATTAATCAGACTCAAATTCAGCTGCTTGGTTTCATGCATTAAGGTATTTTGAAACTGTGTATGTTTTTACATTCATTACTCAAATGAATATTATATTTACTTAATATTTACTTTATTTTTTTAAATCTGAGCCATCAAGATGTGAAAAATAAAAGGCAGCTGTTCCAATGAAACATCCTCTGCATGGCAGAGTTCAGAGGAAACACAGCTACATACAGAAGCACATCTCTTAAAATGTTTTAACAGCAAAAATGATTGAGGTCTTTTTAGGACACATTGTCTGTTCCATAAGAGGATTGGAAATCTGCCATTATATTACTGGATTTTGCTCCAAAATAAACTAAAGCCAGCACAGCTGGAGGTGACAGAAGCATGTCCAGGGTAAATACCTACTCCTTGCCCTCCTTCCCAGCTGTTAAAGCATTCTGGCCCTGCTGCTTTCACAGCATGTAGTACTGGACTGCTTCTACCCTCTCTTCTCAGCAAAGCTCCTCAGCTCTCCTCATCCTCTGCATACTGAAATCCCCCAGATGATGCTCAGGCCGAGAATCCCAAATATCCTGTAGTCACAAAGACCTCAGGTGCTCTTATACAAACCCCTATTTTTACAACCTATGCTTCTCTTATATCTCGTACCCTACTAACAACCATATCACTTCCCAACAGCCTGGTTCCTCCCAGAACACTTGCGGTACTCCCCGCTCTCATTGCTGAACGAAGCAAGGATCCTGTGGGCAAAGAGGTGCTGAAGGTAACACTGAAAAGCACTTGCAAAGGGTGCAAGCTTCCATTGACAACCTTAATTCCACCATCCCCTAAGTTTTAAGGAGTTAAATTAGTAAAATTATTATTACTTTGTAAAGATGCATAATTAATATAACAAACGTATGAATACAGGTTTATGAAAAGAAGCAAAAAAATGCAAAGGTTTTGGTACGTTGGAATCTTCAAACAACTATGAGAATTATACAGACAGCTCCCCAAAGCTTAGAGATCTTCACGGGACTTCCTTTCTTCAAGCAGAAATTTTCTTTAATGTAGTTCCTACAATAGCATCTGAGGCTCTTCTTCTTCAAACTCCCCTTCTCTCTTTCTTTCAGTATTCCATTTCTGTTGGGTACTTTTTTTTTTTTTCATGCTTCTACAGTTCCCTGCTCTGATCCACCCACTAGCCAAATTTTCCAGCTGGGCCATCTCAAGTCTAATTCATTCAAAGTTCTGTCATGGTATAAACAAACATAAATAGCATGCACAGTCATTGAGCAAGGAGCAATCCTCTTTTCTTCTACTTTGTTAGGAGCAGCATTAGCTCTATTTGGAAACACGATATATTCTTGGCACTCTTCCCCCAACAAAAGCAACACTTTGTTAAACCTGCTCCCATCAACTTTATTTGTCATATATTTTGATGATTTCAGGGCAGATTTCAATTTCTGCCACCGAGTCAAAGGCAGTGAACAAATTAATTGCTTTAGAGGTGCACAGAGCAAAGAATGGGGGGCAATCCTGGTGACTGCTTTGCAACAGAACCGGCTTGGAAGGGCTGCTAGTTGGGACAGGAACCCACCTGTCTGCACACAACTCGAGGCAGAAGCCTGCAACTGCTTCTGCATCTCTTCCAGGGGAGCTTTACGGAGAAAGCAGGCATCTCCAAAGTCAGTACAAAAAAAGAAAGCCAAACAAAACCAAACAGATGTTGTTAGGACACACTGAGACGGAGGGAGGAAAAAGAAGCTGTGACCTGTCTCACTCTAGTCACTCCTTCTGAGGCGATGAGCAGAAGCAAGCCCACTGCTTCTCTGGGCCCAGGGCTCCTACTCAACCCCGTTGCCCGTACACGTGGATAACCCTAATGGCACCAACTGCCCTCGGGGCCGCATTACGCCCCCCGCGCTCCCCAGGTGCGTCCTCGTCAGACACAGCCCGGTCCTCCGTCGCTAGGGGGCGCTGTGGTGCCGCAGCGCTGGCGGCCCGCTGAGCTGGCGTCGACATTTTGGGGCGCTGCTGGAGGGAGAGGTTTCCTGCGTGAACGTCATGGAAGAGTGAATGGCAACGGGCCCTGCAAGTCAGCCGGCAGCAGGAGGGTAACAGCACAAGCACGTACCTATTAGCGTGCGATACTGCATTCAGAGGATGCACGCACGTGAAGCGAGGAGGGTGCTGTCAGCCAAATCTTTGTTAGATGCTGAACGCACAGCAGCTGTGAACTTCGGTTTGCTCCCTGGTTTCAGTCCTGGAGTTGCATGCTTCTCAGCTCCTTACAGATGCCTTATGTACAGATTCGTTAGTAAACAAAGAAGCCTCATCCTGCAGAAACTCACTCCTGAGCAGTAGGTTTGACCAATAGTCCAACAGTTCTCTACCCTCTGCAGAGCTACAGCACATTGGAATTCCAGGCTCCATCATCTGCTGCCAGCCAATCTGGTTACCATTTTCTGGCCCCTTGGGCCCCCCGCCCCGTTTTTTTTTTTTAATATCCCAGAATGGCCATGCTGAAGTTCTGTAGGCCTCTCACCACCAACAACAAAAGAAGTGTCTTGATGACTATTCCAAGGGCAATTCTACTGCTGAAAAGTTTCTCCAGTGCCAATCCAGAGGGCTCCCTTGTCAAAAACAGCCTCCAAAGGCAGAGGAAACATGAGGCTGCTCCCTAGCATTGCACAGCTCTCTGAGCTCACCTGGCTGTTAGCACTCCTCAGAGCAGCTTTAGGATACTGAGGTTAAAAGAATACAAAACCCTTTAGGCAATAATTGTAGAAGCAGTGAGCAAGATTCAGGTCCTTTTCTTCCAGAGTTGATATCCAGCTGTCTGAACTGGCAAATAATCCGGGCTGAAACAGATAATTTCTAACATGTGGGACTTTGTTAACTGGGAAACAGATGCTTCATATTGTCTAATTATTAGAAATCAAGGGAAGAAAATAAATAGATTTTCTTTGTTGGTTGTAACTAAAAAACATCCTTGCTTATATAGGCTTTTCTTTTTTAAAGGCTTTTATGAAGAGAAGATGTTCTCTGCCAGGATGTGTTGTAGGTTATAGGAAATGCCAGACAGAAGAGTAAGCAATCCTTAGCACTGCTCTATCTCCCCTTTTTTTCAGGCCACATCTGTCCTCTCTTTTCTAGTCACCTCATACCCAGCTAACTGAAATATCTAAGGGAATTCCCACTGCAGAGAAGTACCTAGTTTCTGTAGTTCCTCTTTTAGGTGTCTTTCCTACTGGGGGGAGGGGAGATTGCAAAGAATGGATAAACCCTAAAGCAGAGGAAGTGCTGAAGGCTAGCAGAGGGGAGGATGTATATACTACTTCAGCTGTTGAGGATTTAATGCCTCTGAGTTACAGAAGCATTCAGGAAACCGAAGGCTGGGAAGAACTATTTAAACAGTAAAAAGGAAGAAATCTTTTTCAGGGCTTTTTAGTCTTACATCTACAGAACGTTGAGATTTCTGTTAATCTGCAAGGAACATACAGCACGGACAGAAATTTCAGAGTTTAAGACTTCTTACTGATATGGAATGAAGAATTCATCTGTGAGATTGAGTTTGCTCTTATTGCATGTTGTGCAATGGGGAATTCTGCAGAAGAGACCAAAATAAGTTTAAAATCAGCTAATAGAGGCTAAAGTCCAACATAGAACAAAGGCTTGAAAGTTCCAATGCACCTATAATGGAATCTGTCCCTTTCTAGTTTCCACTAGTTGAATAACATGTTTAATTCTCCTAGAAGTTTGTTTCTCTGGTCTAGTACCAAATGAAGTTATCAAACCACATATTTCTTGCTTTAGAGCTACTTTAATTACTCTGATTAGTATGTAAGGGTGAGGTCCTGCACTTGGTGCATAGGCATTATTTCATTGGAAGCCAGTCAAAGTGTTGGCTGCCTTAAGGATTAGAACCCCACATTTGTACTGTTGTACGCCACTGTATGACCTAAATGAGATTAGAATAATAAATCCTGATTTATTATAGGGCTTTATTTAGGTACATTTTGAGTACAAGGGTCTGTGTCAGGATTAATTATGAAATGCAGCGTGCCCCAGCACTGAGAAAGCTTAACAACACAAGGACATTTTTTCCCTTGAGAGCACTAGTTCCCAGCCTTCTGTCTGGCTTTCATCAGCATCGCTAAGTGTTGAATGGCCCAGAGATGCTGGATCCCAAAGATGGTGACGTAGTCTGTGACTTGGAGATAAGCCCACAGTGAGTGAAGGATGGAAGAATCCCATTGGCAGCCTGAGTAATCATTCTCTGCAATGCAGTAGCACTCAAAAAGCATCCAATAAGGTTTTCAGAAGTCAGAAATAAATGAGAAGTTACTGTTTCAGGATTTATGTACTGTGTTTGAGCAGACACTAGTTGAGGTACCTACCCAGTAGTTAAGACAGGTTCCCTCACCTTTTGCAAAGGAAAGTCCCTTCTTCTCAGTTTTGTAGCCCCCAGCTCTCATCAGGAAGCCTGATACCTTATCATACAGCACACCAAATTACAGTGGCCTCAGTATTTGACGCAGAAGGTGCGTGCTTGCACAACAGTTAAATTCATCCAGCTTAATAGCCATACTACTACAGGCTTAAGAGGAATTTGCCCTTCCAAGTAGTAATTTAACCAGAACAGGAAGGAGGTGGAAATTAAAGTTAATGAACTTCAAGGGTATGGGATACAAACTGAAGAACGAAGGTTTAAGTGCTGCAGTAAATCCATGTGCATTCAATCAACATGAATTACACAGTATCTTTACTTTTCTCTAAATCCTAGTACTCCCAGTCTCAGTCAGCTGGCTGACCAACCCATCTACAGCAGATTTCTATTCCACTTGCTCAAAGATTCTTTACTCTGTTCTCAAAATTTAAACCACGGGAATCAGGTACTGGAAGAAATACAATCTGAGAAATCAAGAAGCCTCAAAAGGATGAAAAGCCTCCCAGTGCAGCTGAGAAAAAATTCTCTGGGTTACCACATGCTACAATTGGAAAGATCAACGCAGTTGATGTGGCAATACATGAAGTGTAAAAACAAAGCAATCAGAGAGAATGGAAAGGTGTTACAAAGAAAAACTAAAGGCGCTCACCTGTCACCAAAGATCAAGGCTAACAGAGAAAACTCCACACAGGAGGAATCTCCAACCAGAGATCCTTCCCTAGTGGCAGTCAGCCCTTAAATGAGCTCTAAGAGAGGTGCAGCCAGGCTCCACCCGTTCTGATCACAGAGCTGAATTGCCTTCACCTGCGCTCCCAGGGCTGACCTGGTCCTTTCCCCAGTGATTCAGGCCATGACTCGACGGTTCCACACACCACAGTATAGAATCAAATATGAAGATGGTTCAGGGTCTAACAAAATGTTGAATTACTTTTTTTTCTTCACTTCCTAGAAGTGCTCATTTCTGCCAAACCCCTTCTAAAAGGCTTTTAAATTCTACACGCAACATGGTGGGATGCATGGTAGCACACAATGATTCACTCACAGTCTTACCAGCAAGTTCATTAAGTCCAAGTGACATTAAAGACAAGAGCCTTAGACCTCTGCACAGGAGCAGAGCAACACTTCAACTTGCAGAATCCAGATGCTTTGTTATATACTTTTGATCATTTCAAGTCAAATGGCAGCGTGACAGACTGGCTTATCAACCTTTTGAACCCTCAAGCTCCACTCAGGTTTATTCGTTTGGACAGTGACCCTTAGAAAGAAAACAGTAATGCAAACAGATCCTTTGGAATTGCCTAACATCCCTCAACAGCTGGCTGAGCTTTTAAAGGGCTGGAAGGCTGCATGAGTAGGCCTATGAAGAAGTTTCTTGTAATGTTACAAAGCAGTTTCTCAATGAAGTTTGGATCAACTGTCAGCAAGAACATAAGGCTGTGACACTGTGCGACCACTGCTCTTTGCAGGAGTCCCTTGACAACTCCTGGCTGGGAGCAGCAGCTGTCTTTATCCATTTACAACATGCTGCTCCTGGATTGTGAGTGGGCAATCATCTCTACAGGGGCACTAATTGAAACCAGCGCTTTGTTGACTGGAAACATCTTCCAGCTTCTCTGTACATTTTATAGTATGTTTCAGACACGTGTGTGATTTTGAACATCCTGGTGTTTTGCTGATGGCGTGTTATGGAAGCCTCTACCTTCATTTAGCAAGTTAGAGTCTTATGGCACAAGCTGTTGTTCTAAGTCTCTGCTAAAAAGCTGTAGAGGGCTCATCACCACCATAGCAATGTTAGCCACAAGTATAGTCAGAATGTTTGTGCTGAGAGCAGGGTGGTGTGTAACCTGCTGAATTTATTGTCACTGAAGTCTGGCCCCAGACAGAATGTGTGTGTGCTGGGGTTGCAGAGATGGATGGATGCTTGTGGCAGCCTATCAGCAGAACTGGGAAAGGCTAGGAAGAAGCTTTCCTTTTTTTCTAGAAGGAAGTATGTATCAATGTAGGGGAGACCTTTTTCTGGTCTGGGAGACAGAACCTTTCCAGCATGTAGCAAAATAACTTTTTTATTTTTTTGTACTTTGTCTGTTGTACCTGTTGTCTAAACTCCTGTTCAGGCTCTATCTTCCCCATCTCTGGCTAATGAGTACAGATAGCTTGCTTCAGTAACAGCTTTGCTTCCTGTGATCTAGACTGAGTCAGTTTTTTTTTTTTTTTTTTTTTTTTTTTTTTAATCTGGGCAATATGCAGGATCTAGGAGCAAGTGCTAATTTAAAACAAAGCCCAAGTTTATTTATGTTGAAGTTATAAAATTCTCGTTCCATGCAAGCTGAGACATATCTGTATATGTACATGATTCTCAGTGTTTTGATACTTCATATCCTCACTCCTCTTTCCTGTCACTCACTGTGCGCTCTGTGTGTTCTGTACTTTGTCCAGCCTACACAGCCACCTGGTGCTGTGAATCCCACTTCTTCCAGGGGCTGCTCATCCAGGATTCCCAGTGCTGACTCCTCCTGGTAAGGGTCTTCAAATCTTACCTAGGCGCCTTAGTAGAAATGACCTAGTTGACAGAAAGAGTGAGAACCTGCAAACCCCTTCCTGTCAACAAGAGCTGACTTTGCTTGGTACCTTTAAAATCGAGCCACTTATATTTCAGTACATAAGCATGGGTTTTGGGACATAGTCTTAAGTGTTAGGTGTGGATGTTTTTAGGGGAGGATGAGCTTCAATGGAAGATCTTTTTAAGGCATTATCCAAACTTACATACACTGTAATTATATTAATAAGCACAGTTATAATACTTGTCTTTTTCAACAAAACAGTACTACTGAACTCCTTTTATGGCAAGGCATTAATAATTTGTGTAATTATCATAGTTATTGCCCTGTGCCAGTATCAGCATCTCCATGCTTTGTACTGAACATTGTATTAGGCTTTCCTGCACGAGGAACTCCTTGCTAAAGGAATCTGTTCTCACTGCTCACTAGAAAGGCCAGGTCCTCCCCAGCGATTGTTCTAGGTACTTCTCATAAGCAGCTTGCTATAAATGGTGGAACAGAACATGACAGTGCTCCTATCGTATAGCTAACATCTATCTCAAAAAAAAGAAACCACCTTGTTATTCAGTGATATATGTGATCTAGAGATACATTAAGTGTTTCCATCGTTCTGCAAATATCTAAACCACCAAGTTTCAGTTCTCGCTTCTCACCCCCATGAGTCAAAGCCAGCAGACTGCCATAGCACCTATTCATGTATAGATTTAATCCCAGGGGCACGTCTGCACACTTGCAAGAAGGAGTGTCCGGTCAGCTGTTGCCACAGTGATAGCACACACAAGCAGCAACCAAGAAGAAGAGAACCTGTAGCTGCATGTACGCTTTGGTGAATTTGGATGTTTAAGGGGATTATTTCTTCCTGCATGCAATGTATTTGGAAGCCTTGATGTGCCTTTTCTTCCATTCTAGTGAGAAGTCTTGTGTTAGAAGGAAAAAAAAAACAGTAAATGTGTTAGGTTTGTTATGCAAAATTTTGTTATAAATGCAAAGGTATCTGCAATGCAGAGCTGAAATGCTTATTACAATGGTTTTAATTTTGTGAGTAGGTGAAGGTGCTTAAAATTGTTCCTGCTGAAGCACGGCTAAATAAAGTACTTGTTAAATGTGGAACAGGACAAAAAAATCATACAAAGATCCAACGTGGCTGCCACTGGGGAAATGTTAGATACCTACCTGCTTCTTACAGAAAATAGAACATGGCTTAAATAATTTAAAATCCAGAATTTTTTCCAGAGGGAAAAAAAAAAGGCAGCTGTAAACCATTTCAGGGCTGCTGCATTTCTTTGTTTCTTAAGGATGGTGGGGATCCGTGCACAAACATCAGCGAAGGGCAGCGTTCGGAGCTGTTCCCTGCCAATTGCTGACAAAGGCAGTCCTAATGAATCATTCTGAATTGTGATCATGTGCTACCAGCCCACAGCGAGCTGCCAAAGAGGAAGTGCAGCTTGTTTTCTTTCATTTTCTTGATTCCCGTGCTGTAGGAAGATGAAAGGAGAAGGAGGAGGAGGAGGCAGCAGCGGCAGCCAAACTTAATAAATAATTCTGACGATTCCTGATATCAAATGGAGGCCCCTGAGTGGGACCCACTGAAAAATGACACCCTTCCACCGACCCTGACGCCAGCTGTCCCTCCGTACGTGAAGCTGGGCCTGACCATTGTATATACTGTTTTTTATTCACTGCTTTTTGTGTTCATCTACGTCCAGCTCTGGCTGGTCCTTCACTACAGGCACAAGAGGTTCAGTTACCAAACTGTCTTTCTGTTTCTGTGCTTGTTTTGGGCCTCTCTTAGGACTGTGCTCTTTTCATTTTACTTCAAAGACTTTGTCACAGCAAATTCTCTCAGCCCCTTCATCTTCTGGCTCCTCTATTGCTTCCCCGTCTGCCTCCAGTTTTTCACCCTGACCCTGATGAATCTTTACTTCACACAGGTAAGCAACAGATATTTGATTAAATCTGACAGGATAAATTATTGTTTTGTAAGATTTGTGAGAAGGATGTAATTTCCTAATGTACTTTGGCAAAGCAAAAAGCAAATTTCAGATAGTTTAGTTTGGAATTGTAACATTTGATCTGTGTGCAAGTGATCGGTGTTACAGAGAACCTGGAGCCTGCGGTGATCATTTCGGGAATGGCAAATAGTGTCTATTGTCTGTGAAATGGGTGTCATTTAATTTAAAGGGAGGGAAAAAATATACAGGAGAGCTTGAAGGCTCGATGTCCAAAATACTGTTCTGTTATTATTCTTTACTATTGTTGTTACTGCTTAGCTTAGGCATTATAAGCCTCCTGGCTTAACAGACCTCAATCTCAGTAATTTTGCAGGCATCCCCCTGCTCAGACATTTTGTAAGTCAGCTGAGATAGTTTTCAGTGGGGAGATTTCTATTCTGTATCGACAACCAAAATGCAGATCAAGTCCTACTGCAGACCCAAGAAGTTCTTATAATGGTCTGTGTTACACACAGCAGTGAGTGTGGCCCCAGTACATGCTAGGTGCTGTACAGAGGTGCGCTCTCTGATTCAAGGACTCTGTGTTGTAAAGGTAAATCAGCTGTGTTATGAAGGAAGCAGCATCTCTGTATCAGAAAGACACCTTGAGAACATATCTGTGCAGTGGACAGCTAGGAATCCAGATGCATCAGGCTGCACAGAGCTCTGTGTTGCTGCAGTTAGACTTGCTTGGAAGTATTGCTGGTAAGCTTGGGTATATCGGTACCAGGTTGCAGGATGAGATGTCAGCATGCTGAGGCACAGAAAGGCTGCTAGGCTTGCCTGAGATCTCACAGGAAGCTTGCAGGAGAGCAGGGACTGAATTCGCTGTCTCTTCCATCCCACTACAGTGCATGCAGGAGGACACCTAGCTCTCAGATGGTTCTTGCCAGAGGTAGCTTTTCCAGTGCAGGGACAGCTGGCAAGGGGAAGTGCCAGGATGCTCTGTGTGTAGCTGCGTGCCCTGCTTGGGACCAGCTCAGTGCCTTGCTCTAGGTGCTTTTATAGTGCCTACAATGCTTACAGTGCTCTGTAGCTATGCAGGGCTGTGAGCTCAGAACAGCCCAGCTGGAGAGGTCAGGCTGATTGTGAGAGCTGCCATTCCAAAGCTGAAAAAGCAGAGCACATAAACATGAAAGCTCTAAGAGGATCATTTGAGTTGCAGAGGGTGTTAGGACCACGTACGTAGTTTGGCACTTAGGTTTACTTCTCTGGATTCAATGCCTTAAATGCCTGCAACTCATAGCACTCCACTCCTCAGGACTTGAAACATATTTAGAGATTAAGGAGTCTTTCATCTACATGCTACTCAAATCTAGCTCAGGCATTTAATCACCTATGCTTGATCCCATGACATTTGATAATGATGCAGTTCTCCTGGGGCTGATGTCCATCATCGCATAGTCCATCGCCATCGCAGCAGCTGAGAATAAACTATACCCCTAGGTGAGATTCTTCCCTCAGACACGCATCAGGGCTGCCATGGAAGGCTGGAGAGTGCAGCATCCTGGCTTATAGCCAAGAGAAGTCGGGGCTGAAGTGAACACAGAGCATGCATGTTGACCTGTACTCTGCAGCATTTGTGCTAGTGCTCAGAGTCTGTGTCATCAGTAACTGATTCCTCTATTTAAGAGAGGTGTAAAATGAGAGTATACAGAATGTGTGCATCTGTCCTTTTAACTTATTTTTGGCACTGCTGTCTGATATCACTAAGGAAGTACAAGACATTGGCTGGAAACACAAATATTGTAAGGCTATTGGCTCTGCCTCTGACACGATTTCTGCTTTGTCACCGTGAGTCCTCCTGATCTTCCTCTGAGCCTCTCTTCAAAGGAGCAGCATGGTTACCTGTCTTGAAGAGCTGCTATGAGGATTTTGAAACATTTACACAGGACTTTCAGAGCTTGTGATGTGTGTCATAATCTCCAAAGATTGTGAGCCACTGTAGACAGGCATATTATTAGTAGTGGTGTTTGCTTTAGAGCTAGTTGCTCCCTGTGAAATCTCATCTCAAACATCTCCCTAACCACAATGAAATCTTAAGAAATACAAGCAGAGCCATTGTAGGAATGTAATGGGAAGACACAGAATAGGCGCATGTATTTTTAATTCACTGTTATTTACTTCTGGCCATTAAAAGGTGGTTTGGCTTGAAATTCAGCATCTTCTTAAGTCTGTATTTTTAATGTGCATCTAGCTTTCCACAGAAGGCAAGCAAGAACTAGCGTGAAAGGGGTGGGGAGAGAAAATTTTGTGTTCAGTAATGGCTTATAACTTCACAGACCTGTTCAGAAGCAACATTTATGCTTCTTTCTCTAGAAGGAAGGAAAGAAAGATCTGCAGCTGTGTCTCACTGCATGAGAACCGCGCTACTTAACTGGTGCTTAGCTGTAGGGAAATGAGTGATCTGTGCAAAGTATGGGGGCAGAGGATGGGAAGACCTCATGGAATTTGCAGGTGTTTACCTTCTGTCCGGCACTCAGCACTTCTAGAAGAGGCACTGCCTTTTAGACACAGAAGTGAGAAAAAAAAGTGATTTCAAAAGTACTGCAGATCTTCCTGGCCCAACAGAAAAAAATTCATTTGGCAAGTGCCTGAGGGCATTTTTCAGAATAATAAGCACCTTTGAACTTGACAGAAAGTTAGCCACAATTATTCTGTTTTTAATTGGTATCCCAAAGCAATGAGGACATAAATTTGGACTCTCTCTTACGTGTAGCAAGGCAAATAAGCCACAATGGTGTCAGCTAAGCAAGGGTTATTCGTGAGCATTGCCATCAGCAGACACAGCGGAAGCTCTGATGCACTGTGATGTATTGCTAGACTAGAGGACCTGTGGACAAAAGAAAAGCTACAATCAAAATAGTTTTGAATCAGAACTGTTCCTGAGAATTGTTCTTTGAGTGGGGAAGTATGGTCAGGGTGGTCTTGATGGCAGAATAAAAAGGGTGCTGTAGGTAAGGCTTAGGTAGAGTTACCTTCTCTCAGAAATCAAACACTAGAAAAAATACCTGCTATTTCTAATGGGATGCTGAATTTCCTAGTATTTTTTTTTTTTAATAAAGTCTTTATTCAATCTCCTGCCTTCTAAAGGAGAACATGAATGGTAACTTCCCTCTCAGGTTAACTTTCTATCTTCAACCTAATATCTGCAAATACCTGCATTGCACCAGGCCAGGGCAGCTCCCACATCCATCCAACAGAGAGCTGCAGTGTACATTTCCACCCACTGAAACAAAAAATCCCATAGATACATCCGCATCTCTCTTGGTCAATAAAGCAAACACTGTACACCAGCAAAAAACGTGTTGTCCACTTTAACTGAAGACAGACAGCGAGGACCCCAGGAGTCAAGAATTCTGTTATTTATGTCTTGACTTCCCAGATCTCCCACTCTTCCCATCCCGGAGAGGGGCCTCAGGCCTTATGATCAGGTCTGTGCACATAAGTTTAAATAAGCTCTGGGAAATAAAATCAAATGTTGCCCTTTTTGGTATGAGGTGGGAAGAGAAGGGTTTGCTTCATTTTGTTCTGTTTCAGGCTTTACATTTCACTGGGGAGCAGGATGCAAGGGAATGAAGAGGCAGGCTAGGATGTAGGGCTACCGGCTCAACAAAGTCAAGGCCAAAAAACATGAGCCATTGGGGATGCTGGAAATCCCGGTCCTCCTCTGCAGGCAGGCATGGTGAGCCACTTGTTGTGCTGTGGGTTTAACCATAGGGTTGGGAACTCCTCCAGCAGCTGGGGAAGGTGGTGCTGAGTTGAAGAACTATGAGGCTGTATAGGTGGAGAAGAGCTGCTAGGCAGATTCCCTCTCTTTATTCCTCCCTAGCCATATTCCATTTTTTCTCTGGCACTCAGACTGAGGAACTTACCCTGCCTCCCAGGCAAGGCTGATAAAATCAGGGACTTTCAAATGAGAGAGAAATTGTGCAGAGTAAGGCAGTCAGACAGGAGTTGGCCATGCTGGAAGTGCCTGGTAGGGCGGGGAGAAACCAGCACCAGGCTTTCAGGGAGGCTGCATTTATCTCTGTGGAGCTGGAGTACATGTTATCTGTGAAGGAAATTGAGAGATTCTTATCCTCTAGTTAGTCTGGGCAGAATTTTAGCAGTAATACTAGCAGTGAGAGAATAGAAAGGGTTTGTTTACAGCATGCTTCAGACATACATAGAACTACAAAGGAGTCCAACTTACAGGCAGCAAAGCATCAGCGTATAAATTTGACTTTAAACATTGCCCTCTGTATTAGATCTGTAGGAGACAAACTGAAATGGCAGACTGGCTGGCTGTCAGCATCTGACATGAGAAATGACATCATTTGCTTTGGAAAATAATTTGACAGGAAGGCTACATATGCAAACTTAGCACGGCTGTTGGCCCTGCAATAGTCCCAGCCTTTGTTTTTGCTAAGCTGCACAAGGCTGAGTATGGCAGGTGGTCACAGCCCATGTCAGTAGGCTTTGCAATGCACAGTTTAGGGAGTAGAGGGATAAAGTGGGCACTTGGGAGAGTATGATCCAGGAATGAGGGAACATTTTACAGGAAAGAACAAACATGGAAGAAGGAGAGAAAGTGGGACTGGGACTGGAAAATACACAGGAAAGGAAAGGTGATGGTGAGGGGCTTTGGTCCTGCATGAGGCTGGGTTGTGTTTTTAGGGCACAAAGTTTGCATGGAATGTGACAGAAGAGATGGACAATGTTGAGAAGGACTGGGAAGGGAAAGTATGCTCTGTGCTCCACATACAGCTCTTTGAAATGGGGACTGGTAAATAAAGCCGAACCTCATTCCTCTGCAGAGGGCCAGCTGGACAGGTATGAGAGCACTTAACACATACCTGAGGCTTTTGGTGAGCTGAGCAGCCAGTAAAAGTGAGTTGAGCCACCCGACACAGAGGTATCCTGAAGGTTTGTGCCTGGATTCACATCAGTGCAGCTAAATCAGAGCTTAGATTGAAAGCTACTCCAGTGAGGTTTCTTTTTTTTTGTTTTTTGTTTTGTTTTTTTCTAGGACTATGTAATTTGGCTCTGACACCTATTTCATTGATCCTAACATGGACAGGGTGGTTCCTGATGTAACTTTGATAACCACAGATGTAACCTCCATAAGTCATAGCAGCCAGGCCCTGCCTGCCTGCCTGCCTGCCCTGCTCTGTGCTGAGGCACTGCCCTCCATCCTCACCTCTCTTCTGCTGGGGCTGGTGAAATGCCTTTAAGGTCAGCTGTTTACATCAGTTCCTGAAACACAGGAATTTTCCCTGGCTGTATCTAGGTCTTTTTTGGAGTGCTTTTGTACTGCTGCCCTTTTATATGCCAGACACATACCTCAAGGGAGTGGAGGAGGGAGTGTGAGAATCTTATTTGAGGTTTCCAGTCCTTCAGCAAAGAGAAAGTCAAAAACAGGATAGTTCTTCTTCAGGAAAAAAAAAAAAAAAGAAAAAAAAAAAAGTGAAAGGGAGAAGAAATAAGGAGGAAAAGTAACCCTTTGCCATTAGAAAAACAGCAAGACATTTCGCAGTTTTCCTGGTTGCTATTCCCCCTGGGTTTCTCTGAAAGGTCTCTTTTAAGAGGTCTGCCTTCTGTGAGCTGTTTGGTCTATTCTTAGGAATAGCTGCCTTGCTTTGCTCTGCTTTGCTGGAAGCCTTGCTGAGATGACTCAGATACTGACTGGAAGCTTTCTCAACACTCTTGCAGGGAGGGGCCATTGGGCAACCTTTTCTTCCACAGCTCTTTGGAGTTAAAGAGCTGCACCCACACAGCTGAGGTATATTGAGCTATTGAGCTCAGCTTCAGACACCCTTACTCCCCACTGAATGGCTCTTTATTCCATGCCAATCACATTTCTTCCTGTGAGGTTACTCATGAAATAAGGCTGCAAAGGCAGCAGAATGTGGCTGCCTGTGTCTCTGTCTGGCAGTCAATTTGCACCAGTATCCACAAGTTGCACCAGCAGTGTGCCTCTACATAGTGTCCTTTTTCTGTGCAGTACTTTCTTCATGGTTATTTTTGCTCTGACACGATTCAGAAGCCTTTGTTGGGGCAACTCCACCAAGCAGCATCCCCACACACAGCTGCTTCAGCAATGCCACACTGAGAGATGTGACCCTGCGCTGCACCAGCAGCAGGAACATCATGCGTGGTTCTTACTAAATTAGCTGTGGGGATTCTGCTGAGTGGGGCAGCATTGGGCTGTTTGATGTGAAAGCAGCGTTCTGTGACACTATGGGGGTGGCTGCAATCTTTTAGGGGAAGTACAGGAGTTGGCATTGAGGAACAAATGAATTTCCCAGGCTTTGTGGACGCTGCACAGCTCATTGCTCACTGCAGATTGTCTCATGGAGCTCTTTGCACAGGCTCTGAACACCTCTGTTCTGTGCTGCTCCTGAAAGCTGTCAGAATTAATGGTACAGCATGTGAGTACTGCTGTTGAGGTCAGCGTTCCCACACCTCTTATACCTCCCTCCTAGGTAGCAAGTAGGTAAAGCAACATGAAACTTGTTCCTGATTTCCTTTGGGAATTCATGATCTGAGAATTTGGAGAATGAATCGCAAAGATCTTCTCTAAGGGATACTGCCAGAGATGTTATCTACTGGGAAATAATGTCAATGGCTGCAGAATATTTTTAGAGATTTCCACCCTCAATGTTTCCATTTTATTTTCAGCTGTTACTTTTCTAAGGTCTGCTGAGAGGCTCAGTGCTCTCTGCTTGTTCCGCTAGTACTAAGCAGACTGATGTGTCATAAAAGTAATTTTCAATTCAAGGCAGCTGCTTCTGGTGAATAGCAGCTAAATAACACGTTGTTCCAGGAGCGCTGGAACAAATGAAGCCTGATTTTCTGCAGTTCTGTGTCTCATGCTTGACTTTGAGCTGTGGCTGAGGCTGTTCCCGTGACGGAGGCATTTCTCATGGTACTTGCCTGGGCAGTATCTCCCAAATCAGGTGATGTGCGGGGCCATTCTGTGGGATTCTCCTCACAGAGGTCATATATCAGATGCATTTCAAGCATGCTTTACTTCTGTTGGGTCACTGATTTTCAAGAGGGTGACAGAAGGGTCATGTCTCTGACTGAGTATTTTGGTCCAGACTCTTTTGAGTCTCCTCTCCTCTGAGCTGAACAACCAAAGAGATTTCAGCCTCTTGCTCATACGTCTTGCCCTCCAGAGCCTTCACCATTTTTGTCACCTTTTTTTGGACAGATAAACATGCTGACAAGGTAGACACATGCCTATCACCTATGCAGTGATTGTGTAATTCTTGTTTCCTTGGCAGAGCATGATAATCATACTAGCTGTTATGGAAGTTACCCTAAAGGACATGCGATACTAATCGAAATGGATAAAATGGGATGACTTGAGAAGAAATCAATTGGGAAACAACCCTAGGGAACAGCCACACAGCATGTTATTTTGTAATACTGGTAATCACTTTGCTTCAGCAGTGACTGCTGAGTTAAAAAAAAAAACATTTATGAAGGTTTATAAGCTGAGTGTGTTTAGTAACAATGTTAACTTACGAAAAAGCAGTGACACTTCCCTTCATCATCTTTAATAAAAAAAATGCAAATTATTAAGTATTTTTTTCTTTTCAGGCTGGTAACTATTGTGCCTGAGTGCTCTCTCTGTAAAAATATATATTGTTCTGTTTGTGAACAGACAGCCAGTAGAAGCTAAATAAGCCTCAAAGTAAAGAGATTTCACTGGCATCCTTTTGGGAAGCAACATGGATGCAAACTGACATCACCAATTTCAGGCAGGCTGAGGTACTCCAGCAAGCTTTACATGTGCGTACAGCATCAGACCCAACTTGCCAGTATGAGCTGGTCTGTATGAGAGGCATGTACTTACCGGATGTATAAGAACCTAATAATTATTTATCTCTTGATTATACAAGCTCTTGTGAATACTAATATAAAACCTTACATCAGTATGTGATATAAGTGAAAACAGTGGTGCAGACAATTTGCATAACAGTATGTGATCATCTCTTGCTGAGTGGTTTTAATACTTTATATCTTGCCTACCATGGACAAGACATACAGGTGAATCTATCACTACATTTCATGTGACATGTGAGACAGGATTCCTGTGGACACAGCATTTTTCTTTACTCATGTGTCCTATGTCTGATGCAGTATTTTTCTGTTTTGCAGGTGATATTTAAGGCTAAATCAAAATATTCCCCAGAGCTACTGAAATACAGGTGAGAACTGTGAAAATCTTTGGAGTGGTGAAGAAAAATTGCCATGTACTTTGAGAAATGCTGACAGTTTGTGATGCTCTTATCTCTACTACTCCTATTTAAATACCAGTGTTTCATGACAATGGTTCTGAGGCCAGCTTATTCCTATTATGTTTCAAAGTCTGTGTCATTTCCCAATACAAGCACCATTTTTAGACATTCATGTATTTCAAAGGGAAATATTTCAAATGCAGGCAGAAAGCACTGACCCTGCTAGTTTGCCTACATGTTCACAAAGGACCTGTGGATGCTAGGTGAATTCAGGCCCAGAACTTCAGTAAAGGTAACAGGGTGACATATTCATTGCAATAGGAAAAAGTGGGACTGGGTATGTCTTAACCGAGAAGTGAGGTAAGCAGTAATAAAAGGTTATGGGGAGCTTAGAAAAGAATTATGAAGGGAAGGAGCGAGAGAGAATGGATTCAAGACAATGGTGTTTTGGGGAGCTTATAGATGACTTACCGTGATTCCATAGAGCTGAGATTATGATGGCTTTGCATTTAGGTGGTAAGATCTGTTTAAGGTCTTGTTTGAGCAGGAAGGATTGTCAGGAACTACTTGAGAACTCCTCAAATGGCCTAGATGTCCAGAAAGTTGAGGAAGAGATCAATAAATTATTCTTTACTGTGGCAATGCCTAAAACCATCGGTCAGGGGAAATATTGCTTAGACAGGGCAAGAGAAAGATAGAGAGAGGTTGTCTTATTTCCAAATAAGGAGTTTACAATCTGAAATCAGGATAGGAAAGCAGAGTAATTTGCAACTGAAATCTGCCCCCTTATTTACTGACTATTCAGGAGAAGCTGGTACTGTATCAACAGGTGGAATACTAATATTGTCTGTGCCCTGGAAGGTGGAAACCTAGCCTAGCTGGCTAGGTTTTGATGCAGCTGGAGCAGCAACCATCTGGAGCTAGTGCTTGAGAAAACGTGTTTGGTAGAATGGCAGGACAGCAAGAGCGAGCTGAGTGGTGCTTGGACCAGTGACCAGTGAGGATATGAGACGTGACAGTTGGGTACTCCATGATGATAAGCAGCTAATACAGAAATTCTAAGGAGGGAAACAGAGGCTGCATCTGTTTTGGTGGCCCCAGGAATGCTTTGAAGTTAGTTGGTCTATGTGCATACTTTGGCCACATCCCAAACCAAAAAGAGCAAGAGCCAGATGCTCGCTGATGAACACTGTGACATACAAATACATTCATCCCCCTTTAGGCTCTGGTTTCCGTGGGAAGGAAATCCAGGAGTGTGGGTTGGCAGACAAATACTGCACACACTCACCAGGTCCCCTGCCAGCCCTCAATGCAAGTGAGAGAGCGTGCCTGCCCTGATGGTACACTAGCCAAAAGGAACAAAGAGGTTGCACAACACCTGAGCTGCAGGTAGATCATGATGTAGGGAAAGTCTATGAACATGTTTCTGGTTGGCTTTAAAGGTGAGAGATAGCAGCTTCGAACCTTGTACACTAATGGCATTTGTGGCAAGGCTTTATTCTTAAAAAGTGCTTGAAAAATTCTTTCTTCATGCAGAGAGAGCTCATGAGCTTGTGATGTTTATTTAACATCTGCTAAGTGAGCACATACTACCCTGCCCTCAACATTTCTGTGTTCATCTAGACTCTTGCCTACTGCATTTCTAACACTGATCACTTTTGGATCTGGTCCAGCCTTATCTTTCATATTTAGCTCTGTTGGTAAAGGACTGCAAGAAGAGTTTTGTTTTAATATCTAAAAGCATTAATATGAATGTGGTTAGCCTGTGTGAAAGAGCCTAATAAATGAAGCTGACCTCATTTCAGGGTAGTTCAAGTGATGTAAATATATGCACACCTGCAGCAGTGGTCCCGTGTCTTAATTGTAACAGGCTAGTGAAAAATGGATGATTTGGGCCTTCATACAGGGCTTGGGGCCTACACTTAACGAATTTGATTTTTCTTTTCTAGCTGTTCATGGTTTGGATTTTTTTTTCCTGTTTTTGTTTGTTTCTTGTTTTTAAGTAAGTGTGAGACTGTATTACCTGGTGTCATATCTGCATCACGGCAGGAATGGATAATGGTAACATAAACAGATCAGCAGAGAAGTAGGACTGTGGTCTGTGTATTACACAGGTCTCATAAACCAGATAAGGAAAAAGTCCTATCAGGGTCAGAATCTTAAGTAAACTTTTCTCAGCATAGTCTTCACGATATTAGTCATTGCAGCAAAAAAAGCTCATGGCCAAGTCTGTACCAGCCCAGCTTCATATATAACAGTCCTCCTGCATATTTCCCTGGCCTTAGGGATTTCTTACAGTCACTGGGTTCGGTTGAGGCTTACTGTGCTATCTGTTTATGCACACAAGCCTCAGACAGTGTATAATTTCTGAGGAACCACATACAAAATGTAGTAGTTTCATGTGTTTTCTCATTAATCAGGGCAAAATTCATTGTGTTCAGTACAAAGCTCAAAGAAAAACTTACTAAAGAGATGCATCTAAGCCTGACAGAAAAAAGGAAAGCCTTGGTACATGCCTTCTCTACCAAGGCAGGTTACACATAGCTCCTTCTAAGGGACTAGCCCCAAAATGGGAATTAAGCACAATAGGCTGTTTGAAAAGTTATTGGTGTAACGTGGAAGCACTTCTCCTGACTTGCTTTCTATTTTCTGGAACAAACAAACAAAAACTGTTTATTCATGCTGTATAGCTGCCTGTGTAGGTGAGATGTAAGGATGCATTCTGCTTTTAAGTGAGGCTGCAATGCTTTCTGCAGCTGCAGAGACCCTAAAACTGCCATGAGAGACACAGCACATCTCCATCAGTGCTTATTCAGAACTCCAACAACAATGCTTCTTTTGTCAAAGCAGGCAGCAAGCAGGCTGCCTCCCCAACCGCATCGTGTTAATAAGGGGGTTGGGAGCTCGTTATGTGAAGAGCTGTCATGGCCCATCACTTGTGCAGCTCACACTGGCATACATAAGAGTGTGTGGGCAGGAGAGCTCAACAGTGCTTTTTATTATTATTTTTTTTTTGCTAAACTCTGTCAAGGAGGAGCCTGGCTGGTCAGGAGACAGCATCAAGAGCAAGCAGGCTGCACTGGAGCAGAAGTTTCTTCTGACTAAGTTGAGCAAAAAGAGAGTGCATACTTACTGTCATGCAAGAGACAGTGTGTAAAATACTCACCAGAGCATTTTACTTACACTGCAGTGAGGGTGCATATGAGCAATGTGGATATTGTGAGGCTGTTAAATAGGCTTTGGGAGGGGAAGGAAAGGAAGATGCGTAACCCTCACATAAAGACTTCTGAAATATTAATAGAATCACAGTATATCCTCAGTAGGAAGGGATCCGCAGGGATCATCGAGTCCACACAGCACCACCTCAAATTAAACCTTATGTCTGAGAGCGATGTCCAAACACTCCCTGAACTCCAGCACTTGGAGCCGTGCCCACAGCCCCGTGCAGCCCGTTCCGTGCCCACCGCCCTGTGGTGCAGCACCTGTCCCCAACCCACAGCCCCTCCCCTGCCGCAGCTCCATGCCGTTCCCTCGGGCCCTGCCGCTGTCACACAGAGCAGAGCTCAGCGCTGCCCCTCCGCTCCCTGTGAGGAGCTGCAGCCGCCATCGGGCCTCCCCTCAGCTCCTCTGCTATGAGCACACCCAGGGGCCTCAGCTGCTCCTTCACTATGTTCATAGCCTTCCTTTGGATGCTCTCTAATAGTTTTATATCTTTGTTATATTGTGGTGCCCCAGAATGTAACAGTAAATACAGTATTCACACTACAAGTGGGAACTGCATCCTCCAGAGGAAGATGTGTGAAAGAGGAGCTCCAGGACTGCAGTGCTTCTGGCATTAGGCTGTGAGGTTGAAAGGAGCTGCCTCGAGCTGCTCATTCTAAGGACAGAGCCCTGCCCTGGAAGAATAAGAATGAGCGCAATCTTCCCCCTGAGAGGGAATTTCCATGACCAGCAAGGAAAAGACAGCAGTCTTGTTTGCTGCCAGATATAGCTGGAAAAAAGGGCATTGATTTGTTGATGCAAGCGGACACTTTGAGGCTTTCAGTTCTCCTCATTATGCATCTAAATGTTCTCAAAGGTGTACCTCTTCCTTCCCTGCCCTCTGAAAAGAAGACAACTATTCTTCTGCTTTGTAGCTGGGTTAAACACATGCAGGAAATCTATCACCATGAGGTAAAAGTGTTTTTAAATAATCCAAATTTGATTCCTCAGAGACAGTCAAATTCAAAATTCACATTGAACGTGAAGGACTAGGGCCAAAGCCACTTGCTCTGTGGCTGCAGATTATAAACCCACCAGAAATTGTCTCGGACAACAAAGATAAAGAAATAAGCAAACACTTGAAATGTAAATATGTTTCTTTTTATTTGTGTGTTTGTTTGTTTATGGAAACCTCTGCAGCTGTGTGTAGGAGTAAAGAGAAGCAGTCTTCCTTGGGTGTATGGCTTACTTATGTTGCAGGTATCACTTCTGGGTGGGTGGGAAAACAAACCAGTCCAGCTCCTGGGCTTCTGTCACATTTCTGTTCCAGCTCTGCTCCTGTGGTTGTGCAAACAAACCCTTTATCTGGCATAGATGGCGAAATGCCAACCCAGAATCAATGTGCATATTTACATTTCTTGATGGTTCTTTTAAGAGGTTGCCCGTGACAAAAATTTTTAAGAAAAGGGACAGAGAACGATGCTGGGGAGCCAGTAATTTTCCTATGCTTAGGCACTTCCCTAATTTAATATGAAATCTAATTGCAAACACTGGTAGTCACTGACGCTTTTCATGGCAGTAAAACCAGGATCAACAACAGTCCTTTCCAACCAGCTCAACCTTTTGCAAGGTTTTTCCTGTCAGCAAATAGTCGGATGGTTTGTGCCATATATGAAGTGCATGTTTTAAGAAAGTACATGTGTATTTTAAATGATTTGTAAGAACTGGGCTGTTGTATCTCTGCTGCACTCTTCCAAATTGTATTGCCTGACATTAGTTCTTTTTACTTACTGCTTATTCTGTGACTGTAAAAAAAGGTCTAAAACTAGCTCTGTTCATCTCTCCAGCAATCCAGAGTGCTTAGATTTGGCTGTGAGTCACTGGTCAGCTGTGGCAGCCCAACATGTGCAGCTTCCATTATTCAGAGTTGCAGCTTCCACCTCGTGACTGAAACTTGCTGAACAATGTCGCTAAAACTGTTTTCTCCTCACTCTCCCAGGTTGCCCCTCTACCTGGCCTCTCTTTTCATAAGTCTCCTCTTCCTCTTGGTGAACTTAACATGTGCAGTATTGGTGAGGACACAGAATTCAGAGAGAAAAGTCATTGTCTCTGTCCGGGTGGCAATTAATGACACATTGTTTGTGCTCTGCGCTGTTTCACTCTCCATCTGCCTGTATAAGATTTCCAAGATGTCTTTAGCCAACATTTACTTGGAATCCAAGGTAAGGTACATTTTCAGTTCCTTTTAAAGTACCTTCTGAGAGACATGGGTAGTGCAAGGCAGAGGCACATGGTTCTTCAGATCCCCCAAGAGCTTAGAGGCCTTAGACTTCACAGCTTGCACTTGGTTGTACATCCTGCTCAATAAATAAATACTGAGGAGTAGAAGGGGTGCTTTTGTCTAACCCCACAGACCCCAGAATACATACTTAGTTCCGGGTTTACAGAACTTCTGGCTGGAGTTCCTCACAGCTGTTTTTAAGCTGGGTGCCACCCAACTACATTTCAGTACTGCTTCAGAGAGGTGGTCTTTACTTTGAGATCCTTCAGTTTGTCAAATTATTGGCTGATTATTCTAAATGTTTAAGGTAGCAGTGTGCTGAAGGTAAACCAGAAAAAAGGAATATGAATATCCTTTATAAATTTGCATAGTGTCCTATAGATAATATAATAGTTTTTTTGAAAGACTTAATGTATTATGAATTCATCCAAACAGAGAGAAGGGGGAAAAGGTCTCTCCTATTAATCTACACAATATTCTTTCAAGAAATGTTTGCTTCACAGCTTTGCTGGAAGAGCTGGGTCTGCAAAAGGTGTCATAAAAGCTAGCTGTGTTTGTCATAAGTCAAAATGTTTTGTATCTATACAAAATGAAACAAAGTTTTCAAAGGTCTTTGTATTCACAGTACATGGTTAGATCTTAAAGCAAACGATTAATTCAACCAGTAGCACATTACCATTATCACAACAAGCATTCCAAAAATCTAAGTTTTAACTTCCATTTTGAAAATCTTATAATAAAATCCCTCCTTCCATTTGGTTAATCAGATGAAAGGAATACTTTTCCTGTTTAATCAAATCTGGCTGTACTGCACAACAACTAAAAGTTCATGGCTGAACAGAAGATTTAAAAACACAGCTTAGTTTGTTTTGCTTCTTTCCACTCTGTCATTTGCTGACCAAAGGGCACGGGCAGTGGATTATTTTTACTGTTGAGAAAAGTTTATCTACTGCTGCAAGTCACAGAAGTGTAAATCTCTGTGACAAAGCAGTGTTAACCTACATGAGGCTTTGGTGGATTACTTCATTCTGTTTCCTTCTGCAGGAAACCTTATCTCCTTCACTTCAAGCTATTTCATGAAAAACAAAGAAATTTGAGTGTTATTGCAGAGAGGAAAAGACAGGGCATGGCGCTAATGAAAATTTGAATTTGTAAACGAGAATTAAAGAGCACTGTACTTCTTTCTGCTGACCTGAAATAGAGTCTCTCTGGGGACTTCCAATAGGATTTGGCTGTACATACTTAGGGATACAGAAGGCTGGAGCCAGCAGTGAAATAACATCCTGGTTTAATCTGCCACTGCTGTGCTGAAAAAAATTGCTAAAGAGCTAAAGTTCGGTCTTTGCAGTGATACAATAGAAGCAGCATTGGACAAAACGTGCATTCTGTGTTGCTTGGAGATGGGGACCAGTGCTGGCAGCCTTTTATTTGTATCTCCCATCTCATGGCACATACTCTGTGACCACACATGGAAGTGCTGGCAGACACAGCATCACCTGCAGGATCTGGTGCGGGGCCGGACCTGATCCTGAGCCGTGACCCAGGCAGCACCAGGGAGGTGCAGAGCCCACCCATGAGTGTTGCATTTGGTCCTGCTACCTACTTAGGGCTCCTTTCTTTTCTATGGGCCTGTGACTGAAGAGGGGATCCTTCCAAGCTTGTCGAGCTGCACTCTGCTTTCCCCAGGTCACCTGACTAGATTTGACTGGCAGTGAAAACAGAACAAGTTTAGTCCCTTTTTTTTTTTTTTGTATTTGGTGGCAATAGAGTTTGTTAAAGCTGCAGTGTATTGAACTATTAAAGCCTTATGGGGAAACTGGCATGGGGCAGCACCGACTGTGCGCTGCTCCTCACTTCTGTTTTTAAATGCAGCCGAAGTGGGACATGGTGTGTGATCATTAGCAGCTTCTCCCTGCTCACTCCCCTGGGTTTCCATGGCAGCCCCGCTGCTCCTACAAAAGGAGAATGGGGAAGTGTTGAGTGGATGTTTCCCCTTTTTGGCACTTCCTGCTTGCTGCTCTCACTGCTGTGCGTTGGGTGTCTGTTCCAGTTCCCACATGGCAGCCCCCCGGCTCAGGTTGGGCCTGGCTGGAGGCGGTGTCTGCGGCAGCGCTGTGAGCAGGTCATCAGGCAGAGACTGACAGCACTGAGGGTTTCATGATACTCCTGAGTATTCAGGCTGTTCTCTGAAGCAATGTTATTTTTTGCAGGAATGCAGGCGAGCTATAGTTTCCTGGTGGCCTTTTTGACGAGTCACTCCTTATTGCCTCTAGCCATGGAACGCACGGTGTGAGGTGTTTGCTTGGCAAAGCAACAGGACAACAGCCTCCAGCACGCGTGGGCAGCAGAGAAGCCTGGTGGGCTCCTTAAGCCAAGGCTTCAGGGCTAGGGCTAGAGTTATGCAGGGCTTCTGGATGTGGTGACCTGGTGGCTCGCCCTGACCCATTTTGTATTTGTGTTCTGCCTGTTTGTGCCTCGGGCTGCCAACCTGCTAGCTGAGTACCTGAGTGGGGGGAGATGTGCAGACCTTGCTGTCTCCTGCCTGGGTATAAAAGGTCCCGTGAGGGGGAGCAGCTTCCCTCTTGGCTTGTCTGTATCAGCTAGATGAAAAGAACCCATCTGCATTGTGTAGATCTCTGCCTGGAGAAGGAGGGCAGGGCTAGTGAAGCAAATGGCTGTACTGTGCTAGCCTAAAGCCTGGTTCCTCAGTGCATTCCTCCTTTGGACGTGATAAATACCATTCCAGAGTGAACTGCACAGCATTTGAGTTTCTTCCTTCAGAGCCAGCCTCATTTTGTATGCAGGCCTGCCACCATGACCTGATTCATGGATCAGACTCACTGATCCCCATAGCCATGCCTCCTGGACTCCTCTGCTGCCACAGCTCCTGTGCTGATGCCTCAGTCCCCTGATTCCAACAAGCAGTGGTCAGGAGCTGCCCTTGTTCCTCACGCTAGTTGAGGCTCTTTCCCCTGCTCTGTCCCTTTTCTTCTCTGAACCTTAGGAACTGTCATGACTTCATGCTTTGCAGTGTCATTCCTGCCCTGGTGCTGAAGGTCCCACTTGCAGACTACCCGGCCATGATAACTTTGCCCATAGGCTGTGCCTCCACTTCGTCTTCTCTGTGTTGACTTTTAGGTGAGGCAGGATGTTCTGTTCCAGTCTGCACTGTGTTTAACTGCTGACTGTTGTGATCTGCTCCTTACTTAGGAAATAGGTGCACAGCAAGCAGTTATAAAAAGATGCAAGTTTGCATCATGCCAGTAGCGAGAGTCTGAGATAGGATGTTCAATAGCTGGCATGCAGCTGAATTCTCTAGCTCTATCCAATACCAGGTGTTCTCAGGTGCTTTCATTGCTGTGAAAATGGCACTTGTGCAGCAGTGACAGGCATTAACAGCAGCCCATCTTGGTAAGGGTCGGAACCACTGCCAGGATATACTGATCAAAGATAGGAAAACATCAGTCAGTAACATTAGTCAAAGCACCATAACAACCCCCCATACTCCATGCAAAGAAATATTCTTGTCAACTTCCCATGTGACTAATAACCTGTGTTCAAATCTTTTCCAGGGATCATCAGTGTGTCAGGTGACAAGCATAGGAGTGACTGTTATACTACTTTATACCTCACGCGCCTGTTACAACTTGTTCATCTTATCATTTTCCCAAACCAAGAAAGTCAATTCTTTTGATTATGATTGGTACAACGTATCAGATCAGGCAAGTATGAAAATATTTGCTAATGAGAAAAACTCATTCTCATGTGACAGCTGATTTCCTAAACATTATGACAAGAGGCATTAGCTTATTGATTTGCTCTACGAATACAAATTTCTTGTAATAACAGCAGAATGGAAAGCAGAAAGGGGGAGAAAAAAAAAAAAAAAGCACTAAAAGAAAAACATAACTGCCAATTAAACAATTTTAAAATATCAATCTTTTAGTTAGCATTTAATTCATTTTTATTTTACTGGTAAAAACAACATTCAAAAAGACAGGTGTCTTGTTCATTGGTAAGAATGTACTGTAGCTGGAGAGCAGAAAAACAGTTCTTGATGCCCCTGAAATGCAAAGTTCCAAGTTCTGAAGTCATCATCAAGTCTCCCATTGGCATTTAGTGCAGAGGAGTTATGTACCTTAATTCTGTCAGTAGCATATCTTCCCTAGTTTTAGGATCAGACTGTGATTCTTCACAACTTTTCATTGCAAGTTACAATTCAGATATTGAGAACTAGCAGTATTAGAAATGCTAAGGGAAATAAGCAGATAACTCTTTCTTGAATTTTATGAAATTTGGACATCCAGCTCCTTTCTCTGCTTTGAAACACACAGGTCCCAGTAGTTTTCAAGCTCAATCAAGGCTTGGAAAAACAGCAGGCCTGTATTTAGAGCATGAGTAAATATTTTTGGGGCTCAAAATCCCAGATACATGATGCCTTCTCACCACTGAGCAAGTACTTGCAGAACAAAAGCAGAGTTCCTAGCTGGCCAGGCAAGTGCCTTGTAGTGCCAGGCAGGCCAAGCAAACCGGAGCCATTCTCTGCTGAGCAGCAAATAAAACTAGAAATAAAAAGCAGGTAATCAGTAGGATAAGGCTGTCCAGAGGATCTCGTTAAGAGTTGTTGGAGAACAGTACGTTAAGGACCTCTAGTCCCCCCTGCTGCAGTGTGGGTAGGAGTACAGCTAGGTGATACCACTGTGCAATTAGAAGACACAGATTTTAGATGGAAGAGCAGTGCACTGTGATTCATCTCCTGAATCCAACATCTTCCCTCCTCCTGTTGAAGCCTGGTGTGTTGGTGGCTGCTGATGGTCCATTGCAGATACTAGAAATTTATGGCCAGAATATTTGATCCAGTTTCCCACCTGGAAGCCATGGTTACTCATAAGGGGGGCTGACTGGAATGCTTTAGGACCTGCTGTGTCTCTCCAGTGAACTGCCTCAGGTCATTTTTCAGAAACATTTCCCTTTTTGATTCCACACAAAACACATCAAAAGACAGGACTGCCCTCTGTAGATATGGCAAACAGCAGAGGGGAAATCTGGAGAGAAGTTAGTTCAAAGCTAACACTAGAGAAACTGTGGTTATTCCAGATAACAAAGTGCAATCATTTGAAGAGTTCCAAATCTTAATTTTTAAAGATTGCGAGCAATAACCTTGAAGACCTGGGCACTGACTGTTCTTTCATGTATTATTCCCATCTGAGAAAGGACCAGAAAGGTAGCTTCTCTTTAAGTCCATTTTATCACATTCTTCCCAGCCCAAGAGCCTGGCAAGCATCCAGCGAACTTTGATTTTGCTGAAGACAGAGGATGAGAAAGGAGGAGAGAGGGTAGAAGGAAAGAGAAGCCATGTACTCAACAACATAGAACATTTAATTTTTTTTTTTTTTTTTTATGCCTTTAATCATTAGCCAGGTTAATCCAACTTTACTGGAGTTTCCGGACATGTTGTCAAGCTTCAGCCAATTAAGTATAGCGCTTCGTAAGAAGACATGTTGGCTCTTGCACCAAGAAAACAAAATGCCATTTTTGTTTGTAAATATTTTTCTTTTTGACTTTTCAACAGGCGGATCTGAAATGCCAGCTGGGAGATGCAGGGTACATAGTGTTTGGAGTGATCCTTTTTGTCTGGGAGCTCTTGCCTACTTCCTTGGTTGTGTATTTCTTCCGCGTTCGAAATCCTACCAAAGATCTAGTGAGTGAAATCTGCTAGTACATTTGTTATTGGGATGTTGTGGCAGGTCTGAAGGGCTCAGCATGCAGGGGAGCTTTTGCTTCTTTACATATTATCTTTTTCAACGTGCCCTCAGCAGAATAAAACCCAAGTCAATGGCCTTGTTATGCTAAGTACTTATGAAAGAAACTCATCATATTTACCCAGAAGAAAGACAGTGTGTTTCTCAGGCAATTATCTTAAGAATCAGTAACCTTAAGTTTAGGGACATGTTCCTCATGGGTTAATATGGCACTGTACTGTAGGCAGTGGAAAAGGAGTCAGTTTGCTCAATCACAGTATTGTTCGTAACATAGAGAGCAGCGAAATGATGATGTGCTAACTGTTCCATGGCATATATGAATTAGCTTTAGTTCTTCTAGCTTTGTGTCCATTGAATTGTTTCAGTGCCAAAAGCTAATAGCTATAATAAGCACTACCTGACATTTTTGCTTGCTGAAACAGCAGAGCACAGATTAAAGTGGGAGTTGTAACAAAAATACTATATATCCTTAATACAACGCAGTTAATAGATGGACACGAATCTTTTAATGGCTGTAAGCAGCACTTCCAGGCTAGGGTGTGCTGGTTGACAGCACATGGGTTTATCAGCCTCGCATGAGGCTAGATTACCTAGGTAATCTGTGGGTCAAACCCAATTAAAGCTAATACTCCCCCAAGGAAAATGTAAACAGTAAATTCACAAGAGAAGCAATTCACAGAACATACTTCTAGAGAAGACCATGATTTTTGTTCTCATACACGCATTTTCAAAGGCAGCGAGAAAGTCAAACTTGTAAGGAAGTAACAGACACCAGTTACATGAAGTCCTTCTTACAGTTCACCTGTGATACCTGATATCACACTGGGAAACCTACCAATGTCTATCAAAATTAATGCATTAAAATAAGATCTCAGCCCTACTCCTGCTTAGGAAGTAGCCAGGATAACTGTAAAGAGGAGAAATTAAATGTTTTTAAACAACAGTCTGGTGATGCTGTTCTTCTTAGAAGCAGCTACAGAAAGATCTCATTTTACTTGAGGTGATTTTAGTACAGCCAGACATGCTTTTAAATTCATGGTGTTAGATTCACAGAAAATGGAAGTAAGAGTTGTGATCTAACCTCTGCTTTACAAAACTGACCACATAAACACTTGGAATCTTACTCAAATGAGGGTCAGGCAGGCAGCATTCTCTTGCAAGTCAGAACACGCTACGTTAACACACACAACATTATGTTTTTGCATTGTGACTTTCAGAAAGCCTCAAGTCTCAAACTGAAAGATAACAGTTGAGGAGTCATTGGTGTTATCACTACTTTCATGGGGAACTGTCTATGGATAGACATTATCTGTCATAGTGAATCAATCAGACATGATTTTTTCCTGCGCAAGATACTTATGCCAAACACTTGCTGTAATTGGAAAATTGGAAACAAGGATGTTAGAAAGGCAACTGCAGCAAGGCAAAACTGAACTTCAGTGCAAACATGCCACAAGAGGGAGACTAAGGGCCACAATATGTTCAGCAGACTTAAAACAGTTGAAGAGTAGAAAATAGTCTACCTATAGAAAATACCCATAAAGCATGGGATTGGAATTAAAACAAACTCTTCTTTAGTTTTAAAAAAACAACTTAACTCTCATTTATTAAAAATCCAGAATATTCTTCATTTGCTATAGGGAAAAATTCCAGGAAATAGTAACCCTTTGGTTTCACATTTCATTCAGGACTTCAGAATGAGAAAGTTTGAGTAGAGGCAGCCTACATGCAGCACAGTCCAGAGGTAAAGCTCCACATGGCAGTTGATACCACCTGAAACAAGCAACTGCCTGCTTTGGTGCTGACAGAGAGCAACTGCAGCACTTGGACCTTTGCTTTGCTGTAGCTTCAACAAGACAAATGTTTGAAACGGGGACAGAAAAGGGTGTATTTTTAGTTCATCGTTGCTAAAGTTATTTAATATCTGAAGAGATAACGAGAGGTTTAAGTGCTCTCCTACCTAAGGCCAAGGAGATGCTGCCATCCTGCCTTATCCACATGCACTGGGAATCCCATCCCTACATATAAGCATCGACTGAGTCAAAGGAGCTCAGCTGGTTCCCAGATGTCTCTGAGCACAGTGTCCAGACTCAAATGGGTTTTCTGAATTGTGTCTACTCTCCATTTTAAATTCTATGAAAGAAAATGCTCTGTATAAATGAAGGTGTTACATGAGGAAAAACTTAAAATATGAGATCATCTCTATGCCAGTAGAAGAAAAAAAAGTAGAAAAAGATTTTTGTTGTCTACAGAATACCTAAAATAGCCTGTTTTGTTTTGGAAGCCAGGATATAAGTATGCAGTAACTTATTTTGGAAGTCACACACTAAGCAATTTCTCTGCTGCAAGTACTAACTCAAGTTTAACCTTCTCTCAGGCCAATGCAGGAATGGTCCCAAGCCATGGCTTCAATCCCAGATCTTATTTCTTTGACAACCCTCGCAGATATGACAGTGATGATGATCTGGCATGGAATATTGCACCCCAAGGAGCACAGGGCAGGTAAGATACAAGAGCTTACTTCCCATAACAGAAACAGCTAGAGGAGAGGAAAGGTACACACTGCATAAGAGCAATGAAAACTGTTTAGATTCAGTTGCTGCCTAAATGATAAAGGGTGGGGAGGAAGCTAACGTGGCAGCACTGAATGGACTCATAGAAACTACAAGGACACAAGAATGAAAATGGTTACATCATTTCAGATCTTTGAAAAAGTCAGGGCAGATCTTTGGATTGCATTTCATCCTCTACTTCTTCCAAGAGCAGAACAAGACATGTCATTTAATAGTTCAGTGTGTCAGCAAAGCACCCTACAGAGTAGCTGCTTTCCCAGCTTTGAGAAGAGGGGTAAAGCTTGAGACTGCAGGCAGGTAACTTGCCATGGTGGTAGTGACAAAGCCTGTCCTGTAACATGGTTAAACACCTCAGGGCAGCTCACCTGAAGTAAAAGGGATATTTGCTTGCCTATTTGCTCGAAGTGAATGCAATTCTGCTTAACTTTTGAGATCCCACATAACTCAGAACCACCATAAGAAGCCTTTTTGTGGGTTTTTTTTTGTTTGTTCTTCTGTGCAACCATGAGGTTTATAAGGATTAGCTCATCCTCCCAGGAAAGTGGAGATCGCAATAAGAACAGCACCTCACTCAGAGAAAGAAAGGCAGTGCATAATCCTGTCCTGAGAGGAAGTTACTGTGTGTTACTTATCTTCTATTCTTGAATCTACAACATGCTGGTGTTATATCATTACAAGTTATCTGAAAATAAGATTCGCTAACAGCAGCTAACGTTCCCAGATCTAGTTCCTTAGACAGTCACTAGCCAGTTCCTCTAATTATAAAGTTACTACTTAGAGTTATCACCCTATTCCTGCAATAGATTTCCATGTAGTAACTCATCCCATTGAAGATGCTGCAGATGGTGCACTCCAGCCACTACCCAGCCTATAGCTAGAGATGCTCTTCCTTACAAAGGTGTGAAGGAATGAGCCACATTAGCACAGCTCCCAGTATAAATCAAACCGACTGATTATGAGAGCAGAGGCAGTACACCAGAGATGCTCACTAGATCCATGTCCCTTCTATACAGATGCAGGGAGGTTCAGATCTGTCACTGACAGTCCATTGCTGTCTCAGGATAGGCATGGATTAGAAACACCAACTCTCTAGCACTCAGATGTTCAACCACCTCCTGGATCAGCAAAGCAGAGAGGAAAAAGTCTTTAGTGAACTAAAAGAATCAGGAAACAAGTAATGACTCATCTCAGTATGAGAACCACAACTATGCAATTGCATTTTGCCCACAGTAACTAACCAGCTATGTACAGAATCAAGCTGATGCTCAATAATTCTGTTTTCCTCTCAAGTTTCTCTCCAGATTACTATGACTGGGGCCATCAGAACAACAGCTTCATGGCTTACATAGGATCCCTCCAGCAAGATCCAACATTGGACACAGACAGGCCAAGCCCTATATGACTTCAATCAACTACCTAGGACATTCCAATATTAAAACAATTGTTCTGAAAAACAAAGCTTAGCAAATTTATTCACTCTTTGGTTTTTAGAAGTGTTCCTATGCACAGATAAATGAAGAACTTGTCTTTGCCACAAGCTTTTCATAGTGTAAGGAAAAGCATAAGCTAATGATTTAAACTTTAAAGACTGTTCTAATTATATATGTCGTTCCAAAAGCAATGCCTCCTCTTTATTTCCATGGGAACTACTACAACTAACACAGAACACAACAACACTATTTGATAGAGCAAATTCACAGCTACAAAACAGTATTTTTCAGCACAGTCACCAACATTACTTATGCATTTTCACTGCTGATGTACAAGGGCCTGCCTGCCACACAAAATCCGCATGAGCAGAGGTGACCAGCTGTCACCACTGCTACAACGCACCACCCACTGCCTTACTGTGCTCACATCTACTGTTTTGTCTCCAGAAATATTCAGCAATCGTCTGTGAATGTCAAGGGATGCAACTTTTTCCACATGGAGGAATTCAGCAACACGCCTTTGCTTCATACGCACTTCTAAGTCGGACACCGTTTTGTCAGATTGCCCCTCCGCTGCCATTTCTCACACAGCAACAAATTGTGACTGAATATTGCTGGGAAAGTTCAACCTCTACTGCCGTACCACCACCATCCAACTCTGACACCATGGGCCAACATGATAAAAATAGGAGGCATTATTTTTGGAGCAGCCCTCATACCGCCTTGTTTCAAGCCATGGCATTTTTGGCTTTGAACAGAGTTTTGAGAAGGTATAATTTAATCACTTTATGCTCATTTTAAAAGAGCAAATTCTGTGAAGTAAAATGGCAATTGTTTTCTAAGTATTTTTATTTTTACACTGTGTATTAGGTTAGAAATGATGATTATGAGTGTACTGTAAATACATGACAATGTTACCTGAATGCATGACAGTAAGAGACTCTTACGTGCACGTAACAGCCTGTAAGGAAAAAATGCCAAGACCATTAAATATTGTCTTTTCAAGTTACTGCTACATTCTTGAAGCACAATCTCCTGTGGATTGTTGCTGATGACACAGCACAGCAAGATAGTTGGAGGTTCACACATCTACTATGCACTAGTTACCATCTCAAAACACGCTGCGTTCCTCTGAAAATAAGAAAACTATCTACTCAGCAGCCATAGGGACACTCTTAAAGCAGAAGAGATGGTCACCTGCTCTGGCTTGAACAGCAAAACAGGCTGAAAACCTGTAAGCTTGAAATAATAAAAGTTATATGATAATTCTGTGAATGACTTCTAGGTATTTCCTATAGAAGAGTAATTAAAATGGCAAGTCAGTGACCAGAGGGATGGATACATAAGGTTCCTTGATTCAGTGGGGGGAAAACAATTCCAGACTTCTGCAGGGCTGTTCTGCCACACCCGCCCCCATGCCTTGCGTCTGTGGACACCTGAAGTCAAGTCTCAAATGTGTAACAAAACCACCACCTCTGAACTACTGCTACTGTTGATGAATTAATAATACTAAGTATATTAAAAGACAGCTGTTCGTAAGGGTATTATGCTATTGCTGCAGAGAGAGAGAGAGCAGGCATCTGAGACAAGCTGCAAATTGTTTTGGTGGTGGACAGGCAGGTGCTGCTTCCTGCTGCAGTGCCTCTTGCCATTTAGTGAGGATGTTCTCTCTTTCTCTGCGAATCAGAAGCACTCCTGGTTATTTAAGATGCATTAAAAACCTGGGTTTCCCTGGAGGCAAATGTTCTTCCAGGTTGGAATGGGAGTCCTTCGAGTTCTGCTATGTCTGAACAAAACAACTTCATGCAAGAAAATCTTCAGGATTTACATTTTTTTCACAGTAGATAAAGCTGCACTGCAAAAATTTAATTGGAAGAATTCTGCACTTCAAACAAGCTTAATCCTTACACTGCTGCATATGTACATATAAAAAGTGGAATTAAGTGACTATAGCCACAGTAACAAATTACTCTTGGATACATCAGAGTTATAAGACAGCTTTAGAGGTAAGTAACTTACATTGTTATCATCTGTGCATCATCTGCACTTGTGTGCAGGTAAAGTGAGGGTGAAACATACACATCAATAATCAAATACATATCGAGATATGCTAAACAGGGGTACCAAATGAAAAAAGTTGGAGTCCCTTCGAGGGAATAATTTCACCAATCGGAAGAAAAATAATTCCTAAATTGTTTTAATAAGCTATGTTAAGAAAGGGACAGATCAGTGAAAGCTTTCTGCCTCTTCCCCTCACACAGTGGGACCTAGCCAGTGGCTGTATTTGTTCATTTTAATACAGAAGCATTTTACAGACTGATGGATGTGCTGGAATATGGAAACAGCAACTGATATGCTGCAGCATGTCTATGAAAAATCCAAAACTGCCATTTATTTTTGGAACTCTTGCCTGTCATTTTAAGCTTAAATCACAGAGTGACTGACATGTAAATAATTTAAGCTGCATGATTTCTAAAGTACAGTTGAAACCTACACAAAAATAAACCAACTAAATTCAAGAGGTTATAGCAGAAAATACTTTAATTTGTATCTCATAGATTCAAATGTAGCAAAGAAGTGTTCAGATCTCAGTAAGCAGTTCTAACATTGATTTCAATAAATATTACATTTTAATAGGCAAGATAAATGGAGAGATTGTAAAGTGATGAGTTGCCGATTGCTAATTTATAAACATAAGCATCTAGATTATTTACAACATAATACAGATCATTTCCCAGAAAAGCACAGAGCAAGGTCAGATAAAGACCAATCATCAAAACACAACTCAAAGTGTGGCACAGTATTTCATGCATATACAATGACATAACAAATCACCGGCTGAAGTAGGAGAACATTATTCCAGCTTAAGCCTGTATATTTTACTTTTCAAACTCTGTATTCTCACCTTCTTCCTCTGGCACTTAGGAGCAAGTTTGTTCAGCGACAAACATTTTAGCTATGTTGTTTGCATTGAGTCTTTTAACATTTTGCTTAAGTCTTCATGACTTTGTCTTCTTGCTACCTACATGATTACAATCATTTTGTCATTTGTACAGGGAAATGTAATTTTAATCTGAAATGAATGGCAGACAACGTTGACAAGCTGATCTCCAAAAAGGAGCTAGAATTTCAAATAGTTCACAGCTCGTGGATAGCGTATCTAACCTTGTTTTTTTTGTATAAAAACAGATCTGTAAATTTCTAAAATTTAAGTTCACGTATAAAGAACTTTGTCATCCAACTCACAGAGCAAAACCTCATAGGCAGCATAGTGAAAGACCTGACATCAAATACGGTAAAAAAAGATAGATGACAGGAAAATGGTTTCAGCTGCATTAAACCTTCAAATGCAACCAAATCTCCCTATACATAGAATTACCTTGTTCAGCTGCACTCATGTTCTCATGACACAAAAGAAAAAAAGACATCTTTATGTCCCTACCCTAAGGACCCTGCCTGGATTGTACCAACAAGCTCAATCCTTACACTGCAGTATACATACATACAGAAAATGGAATTATAGGTGACTATAACCACAGTAACAAATTACTCTGGGATACATCAGAGTTATAAGACAGCTTAAGGAGCAGGTATGCAAGATCGGTACGTCTGAATCTCTCACCTGTCCCATAAGGAATTACATGATGCCAGACTGGTGCTGCTTCAGTGTCCACTGATTTTGGCCAGGCACAGATGGAAGAACAAAAACAAGAAGTTGAATTCTTAGAAGGTTGGAAGCAATTCTCTTTCCCCAAAAAGCAAAGTAGGGGAAAAAAAGGAAGAAACAACCTTGGGGCAACACAGACAACAGTTTGTTTTTCCATCAGATAATCCCACCTAAGGTTCTTTAGACACTGCAATATATAACAGCAGTTTAATCTTAGCTATACAAGATTTTTCACTTGAGTGAACCTACAGGTTTCCAGCCCTTGCTGGTCAATCCAAAATGGGAGGAATTAACGACCAACTGAAAAAAAAAACCCAACATACACAATAAAAAGACTTGAATACTCAGCATATAACTTACTTGATCAAACACAGCTATACACATTTGAGATGGTTATCTGAATGTTCAAGTTAATGGAGAAAGCAAACTCTGAGGTGCAAGTTATTGAATCCCAGAGTATGTCAAACCAACCTTGGAAAAGGCCAGGTGAGTCCACCTTGACATCACCTGCTCTCCTCCATTAACCAGAAAGGGAGCCTGTGGTGACTTGCTCAGACAGGTGCTCACAAGCAAAAGAGGCTGTTGAGTTAGCATTAGCATTCTCTCACACCACGTTAATTTATTTACTGGCTTAAACAGGAAATAAGGACTGGAAACCAATTGTCAATTTGTGCAACTATCACCAACTTTTTTATTTTTTAAATTATTTCACTTAGCTTACCCCAGTTTGACTCAAAAGGGTTTTGTTTCTCAGGAAGCAATACTTCCCTAACAAGGAATGTCAACAGATTTCCAACATTTCCAGATGACACAAGTTAGAGTCTAGTCTGGAAACAAAGACAGAGCATATTCCAGCTTTCAGGAATATTTCTTCTGTGAAGGATTATGTTACAAAAGCCAGTATCACTACATTAAGTAATATCAACAGGTCACTAAATATCCCGTAGGGTGAAAAATGTTTAAGAGCACTTTGTTTTAAGAGGATTCAAAAGAAGAGATTTATCGACACAATACCAGCACTTCCTACATTCAGAATTCCTAACTTCATTCTTTAACACAATGGTTTTAAAAAATTCATTTTAAATTTAAACGTTTGGTTGCTAATAGTCAGTAGTGCTGTTCTGAATTCTGTTTTGGACAATGATAAATTGCCATTGACATCTGTGGACAATGATACACAAGTAATTTCTTATTTTATGAAACTCACATTATTAACATACCCGTTTTATTATGCTGAATATCCTTTAAAGAAGGTACAGTTAGGGATTGCATAGGTACAGTATGCAGTATTAATGCCAGTGTGATTACGAATTCTAAAAAGCATTTTTTTTTCTTAAAGTGACTATAAAAAACAAGTTCCTCCTTTTTGATCTCCTAACATCATTAAAATATAACCCATTACAAGCAAATCCATTATCTGTGCTCAGAGAGCAAAATGTGCTGTTTCAGTATCTTACACATTAAAAAGGACAACCTTGGAAACTGAACTGGAACAAACCAGAAAATAAAATGGGCTAGACACAAATTTGATTGAAAAAACTTCCCAGCTAGCACTGCTCCACTAACTCTCTTCTCCCCATTCCCTAGCCCTGATCCCTGAAGCAAATGCAGGCTGCCAAAGGGCTGCAGAAGAGTCACAACTGTACTGTGTAAAAGAGAAGGTGGTTATTTTAAAGGAAGTAAGAACTTCTGAAAAGCAGCATATAAGGGGAAAAAAAAAAAAAAAAACTTTGATATCAGCATGATGTAAAGGAATTGGTACAAAGTAAAGTTTTCTGCTTGGTAAAATTAAGTTTCATATTAATGTAAGAAAACAGGCCTCACCAAGAGCCTTATTTTTCTGGTTTACTTCTAGACAGCTAGAATTGGCATACCCAGTCCTCAGAACATACTGATGCTCAGCACTTGGGTGAGGTGAGGGGTGAACCATCTCTTGCAGGACAAGCCAAGTCAGGATTGAGGTACATATGTTTTCATATAAAACAACTTTCTCAGAAAGACAAGAAGATGAAGAAAACTTATGTTGTATCAGTATGATAGAACTGTGAGCAGAGAACTTAAGATAAAACAGATCAGCATAATTTACACATTTAAAAACTATATACTTCATTCATAAATATCTTTTCTAATTAATAACCATTCGTGGTTTAAACATAAATATTCAAGTTGGTATTTGATTTTACTTTTTAATCAGTTCATGAGAGTCCTGTAAGGATCAGTTCCTTCTGCTCAATGCAGTCACGTAAATGGTCTTCACTAAGAGGCTGCACAAAGGCCTTCATTACCTTGTTTGTTGTAGTAAAACTTTAAAATTCTGCAGCTCTTTTATACTTGTGGAAAGCCTGCAAAACAAAAACCCCCAAAGTGGTAGTAAGTAAACTGTGCAAAGAGAAGTGCAAATTTTGACCTTTCATGGGGACTTTTTTCTAATTTAAAACAACAAAAATCAACTCTGGAAGATAGTTGTGCTTTTTAACACTTGTTACTACTTTCTCACAGAAGATTACTATCTGGCTCTCCATCAACACTCATATTGCAGGGATTAAAATTTACATGCTATATATGTTAAATATCTAATCACGTGTAATAACGTTTATCCTATTTTAAACAATAACTGATCATTACATTCAAGATCAGAAGCACCAGCATGGTGAAAGACACAAGCTTTATTAATCTTTTAAAGCCATTAGGAAGTTATATATTGTAACTCGAACACACAACATGTTTGCTGTATCATAAATTAATCAGAATGGAAGTTTTAGTAAAAACACCTACATCAAACTCCAAATCCAAAAGCCTAAGGGCTAAATGATAGCATTGAAAAAAATCATGTGTTTTTCTTCCTTCTTATGTATGTGCATTTAAAAGAGAAATACAAACTGTTCTTCTGTAGTTAGTAGTTAGAATACAAGAAGCAGGAGATGTATCCAAAATTTAATGCTTAAAACCATTTAAGAGATTTATAGAATAAATGAGATTTGAGATAGAGATGAATTACACACAACACAGAATGATGACCAAGGCTAATAATCAGTGCCTCACAAACTCCACTTGATGGCACAGAGTTGTTAGTGATAAACTGTTTAGCTTTTAAAAGTCACAGTTGCATGCACAAGTCTTTTCCACAGACCGTGACCGCTGACACTGAAGTTTTACTGGTGTGTATTTTTTATCTGGTTGGTTTTTTTTTTTTTTTTTTTTGCTCTACACAAATTATGAAAATCTTACCTTCCAAAGGCATTTACTAGAGCAACTATTTCTTGACGTGTTAGTTGAAAACCTTTTGATGGGCTATTCTCAGGAAGGTTCTGTATTTCTTTCTCAGAAAATAAAATCTTCAGAGCAGTTCCTAAGCCTTGCGTCTACGAGAAAAACCTCAATATTTTAGTGTCAATAAAGTCACTGGGTAAGGTCACTTCTTCTAGCTCTCAGAAAACAAACAGAAAAGCTTTAAGCAAAATAAACATAAAAATACTAACCCATGCAAACTGTAGTACCAATTTAGAAGCAGATACTCCTTCAACCCAAATAACTGCACACAAACCAAGACGATAATGCAAACACATGCCATCAGTTCACCAAGTTAATTCACTTAAGAATATGTTTCCTCAGGTATACTTACTCTAAACCCTCATGTTTTTAATCTCTTCCTTTCCCATTTCTTTTTCTTCTCAGCCAGACCAGATACATATGAAAGCATGACTGTTACAACACCTCCAGCTCCCTCCCTGCTACAGTACAGATGCCTCAGGAGCTGTGGACCAGATCCCTGCTTTCCTTCTCTCCTCCCCCTACCAAGTCAAACTACATTTTTAGTATGAGGTGTCACAACACTTCTGCTTTCTCCATCTCCAGTCCCAGTGGAAGACATTGCAGTTTCAACCCCTATTTTGTGTACAGAAATAGAACAGAAAAAGCTATTCTTATTCCCCGTTTTAATCAAGATGGGGAAGCAACCACTGGATTTTGATATACTGGTTCAAGCTGGGTGCAAGACAATTTTATAGGTCAGGAAATCTGGCCCTAGTTCATTTAGCATAAGAAAAGGCAATAATAGATCAGAAGTATGAATGAGTACAGAGCAGGCAGAACTCCATAAATTCAGCAGAGGCTACTACATTTTTGCTGCTATGAATTTATTCAAAACTTTAACTCTGATAAGCTTAATGCTGTTGTCAGTCTGGATTTAATGTTAGCATTAAGGGTCAAAATCTTGCTCTCAATAAATTCTCCAGAACCCAAGACTATTTTTCAACTCTTGGCTTTACTGCACGCCTCTTACAGCATTTTCTAATTGTAAAAATCTGAATCACCTCATTTTTTTCCACTTATGCTTCGATTTGTGGAGCTAAATCTCATTAAGCAAAAGTGCACTATTTCCAGAAAGGCTTCCCACTGCTGATTCCACAAGACTCATCTGCTAACTGAATACTCAAAAAACTGACTGGAAATAAGACTTGGTCTTGGGGTTATCTGCTCTAAACACTTTCTTCCCCAAAGAATATAAGCTACGTCTTCTAGTAAAAAGAACCACCACTGAGTGAACAAAATTAAACAAAGCATACCAGTTTAATTGTTAAAAAGCAAACTAAACATAAGTCTATTTTTAATACATACGTAAGGATATCAAAGACAAAACAATACCTGCAGTTTGCCCCACAGCCTGCATTTATCACATCCAACACAATCCATTATGCGGGATATGTTTTTGAAATGCAATCTGAATTCTTCCTAGCAATTAGAAACAAACAACGAAAAAAACCATTTAGCTTAAATTGCCTCTTAGCTTTAGCAAAATTCACTTAGTACCACTAGAATATCAATTTCCTTTTAATCAAATTGAATGAAACCACTACCATCTGGGGTCAGACTATAATACAGATTCACATAAACCCAGAATCTTGTTTCCAAGCATTGCTAATTCTTGATTACTTGAAAAGTAGGACATGCAGAATAACACTTGTGTTATACTGTTTCCAGAAACTCGTTCAAAATTTTAAGCTTCAATTACTTACCTGTTCCTCTACGTAATTTTAATTCAGTTGTTCAAATCCTTTTTGAACCAACCTACATACCCAACAAAGCAGCCAAACAAGTGCCAATTCACAAAAGACATTTCCCAACCAAAACTATGGGCAGACAGCTGCTTTGCAGTTTCCGAGTGAAAGCAAATACAATACAGAATTGATTAATGATTAATTAATTATCTAATTATCTAATGCAGATTATCCAAATAAAATATTTCAGATCAGAAAAGAAACACTGGCTGGGCTGATAAATCACTGGCACCTTTCAAATAGTGTTCTTTCCAGTGTGGATGAAATTCTGTATAATACTGATTTCAATAGTAGTAGGTATCAGTAAGTATTCAAACATATTTACTGCAATGAAGCACAGACCAGTTGTGTAATGAATGCAGTGCATACCAATCTGAACAACAGTCTAGCAACACTGGCTGTTACTACACAGTAACAGCATTCACAGTAGGATCTTGTGCCCCAGAACAATGCCTTCCTAATGTTAAATTCATATTCTATTTCATTGAATTGTGCTTTATGTATGTCATGGGTACTTTAAGCAAATGCCTGTTCCTCGAGGGGTGGGGAGTGTCCTATGTGGAAGTGAATATTTTAGATGTTAATCAGAAAAGCAGCTTCACCTTCAATGACTTGGCTCCTTTTTTATCTCCGGCAAACATGGACTTCTCATCAAAGTGCATATGGAAGGACCTAAGAAAGACAGAATGGAAAAAAAACAAAAAACACAAACGTGGCATGAACTATAGCATAGCTCAAGCTTGCACAGCAGCTTTTACAGAGTAAACACTCTGACTTTCTAGTTGCTTCAGATCAAAAATTTCTCCTAAGTTTCACATCACTGCTCTTCAAAAGCAAACTGTTATCAGATGTTTTGCTATTCAATCACTGTATCCTGAAACCTGTTACAGTTTTGCTGAGAATTCTTTTCATTTCCATTGATCAAGACTTTTTAAATATACATCAGGAATGCCTTAATATTTGGCCTTCCAGTTGTGTAAACTTCATATTTGACATCTGAACACATCCTAAACACCTAGTGTGACTGAAGCCACGCATGAAGCATGCAACTGATCACAAAAAAAGATGAGTGTAGGAATTGGACTGAAGAGCCTTACAGAGCAAACATTCTTTCTTCTGTTAAGTCTATGACGAAAGCTGGATTACTCACTGGATCATTAATTAAAAGAACATAGTACTAATTTCTTATTCAAAAAAGATCATGTATTTTACACTGGGGTGTAAAGCCTGGGGTGTTATTTTTTTTTTTCCTCTTTTTTGTATTTATTTAAAAATAGAAGTATTCAAGCCTGGGAAATATTTTTTTTCTTTCATTATTTTACTTCCTCATGCTACTCTTCCCTCTCCTATTCAAAAATGAATTTACTCTCATTCTCACTTGAAAATATAACTGAGAGTTTCAAACTATTGAAAACAAAAAAAAACTCCTAACACCTTTACGCCTTACTTTGTATCCCTGAAGATTTCTAGTAAGAGAGCTTTAGATTCAGCATCCTCATGGCCATTTCCAGTGTAAAGGTCCACAACGGAACGCTCAAAGTATGGTGCAACCTTTGACAAAGCCCGCAGCTCTATCAAATAAAGGAAATACAAGTTTTTCAGCCTTCTCGGTCCTTCTCCCTTCGTTTCAATGGGATCAAAACGACGAGTGAACTCTTTCACATTTGGTCCCCAGCGAGGTTTCCCCCAGGTTTCTACACAAGAAATAAAGTGGAGGGGGAGGAGGTTACAAGCATGTACTTGGGAAAAAGCTTTTTAGGTAAGAACCAAACAAAGCTTAGGAAAAAAATATATATATATGCATTTCAGATAATATAGTGTTTCATTCAGCAGTTTTACCTCAACTCAAATTACCTTCAAGAAGATAATTGGCACACAGGTGTAAATTAATGCTAGCATGAAGTCCAGAAATAAGTTTATAAAACACCCTTTTCTCAAGGCAAAGACCTGTTGAGGAAAACAGAAAAGAGACAAGCAAACCTCAGCCTAGATACTTGACACAATGCATTAAAATTAACCTTGACATTTCACTGATACAAGTCTGCACCATTTAACTGTTACAATTACAGTGCCTCATCAGTGCAGTATGTTTTGGAAGCTATTATATTCATAGTAAAAAAAATATATATATACTCTTATTTTTATACATGAAGTATCACCAAGAATAAAGTTCGACATTTCTTAGTTGGTTTTTCAGTGTTTCAATAAATACAGTCCAATAAGCATCTAACAAATTGCTACACAAAAGTAAAATTGTTTACGCAATGGACTTAAAATAGTCTTGAATTTTGACTATCTGGAAACCAGAACTCGAGTGTGACCTATCCTAGTTATAATTAAAGCTATCATTATTTTAGAGTAGCGTTCTTACAAAAACATCAAAAATCCAGAAAGCCCTATGGCACTGGAAAACAGCCAAAAATGCTTCTTCCCAGCTGTACTGTAAATTCACGGAAGATTTAAGCACTCTGAGCAAAGCCCTAAAAACATGACTTTGATGAATAAAGGCTTTCACAGCATAAAAAGAAATGTAGTGGCAATGGGTGGCCAAAATATAATTTGTATGTAGAAACTGCTTTGAAATACAGCTTACCAAGAGAGAGAGACTACATTTAGAATTTAGGGGTTTGCCTCCTTCATAAATATATGTTTGGGTGATTCCCCTGTCACTCCAGTTTCTACAAACAGAAGAAGGAAGAGCTGATGGGGAAGCCTTTGAGACTGAGATAAAGCCTCATTTACAGCCAGCATATTTTAACAAGCATGTGAACATGTGCTTTTCTGCAATAGAACCAATGAAAGCTTTCCAATAATAGAAGATTCCTGAGAGGTATAATGAACTAAATTGCAAGCGAATACATCTAATTCATTTACTTTTTTTCCCACAGCCTACAAAACAGGATTTTGATTTCTACCACTGTAATAATTTCATTTAAACATAAACAAATTGTTATACGTTCTGAGAAGATCTCTTATGCATATGTATTAGCCACAGAACCATTAAAAGCTTTAACACTTTTAAAAGCAGTTTTAAAATACAACTTATAACATTACTAGCATGTGCAAGGATGCATTTTTGTCTAAAAGAGCTGAAAACTCAGTAACTTGTATTGAAGTGAACTTCTTTGTAAAAGATTAAATGTTAAAGAGCTTAAGGAATTCATCAGCTAAATGAAGAAAAACTTTTCAAATACCCTCAAGGAAGAAAAATGTTACCTGAATAACACTCAAGTTCTGCACAATTTATTAGTAAGTTTAACCTATGAAAAACATTTGGAAAGAAGAAAAAGTGAATTACTTCCTAGTGAATTTCAATTATATTAATCCATCTGAAAGGACTTACCTTCCAGCCATGTGTAGAAAGATTCTCCTGTAATGTTAGAAAACACTGTTAAAATAAAGAACATTCTTTTTCATCACTAAAGCACCTTTATATTACTGCGTGCACTAACATTAGCTGCCATCTGGACATAAAACTAAACTTAGCTACTGAAGCAAGAACAGGCACTGACATGGCTGAACTTTGAAAACAGTTAAAATCTGTTGAGGTCAGAACAGGAGAAATACAAGAATAAACATGGCTCAGCTACTAGCAAAGTTTATGAGTACACTTGATTAAATGCACCAGTTTCTACAGTGTGATAGGAAAGAATAATCAAGAAAAGAGGCGTATCTGTGGAAAGACATTTCATGTACATTTCCTGCAACCATCACTGTTACATTTCACAGCAATCGCTTGTGTAACAACTGTTTTCAAAAGCAAATGAACTACTGCATCCTCCATTCTAACAGCAAACTTCAGGTTTGAAGAATGACCCAGGATTCTAAACTAAACATTGCCCAGGTACATCAGTTCTTTACTGGATGTGCTCTTAGATTCCAAACTCACAAATACTTCATGCTTATACTAAGTTTCACATGGGTACCCCTTCTGCACTGCACAGTGTTTCACATGATCAGCAACCAAAAACAGTGAATTCCTGTACTCAGATCCAAACAAAGAAATACTGAAGACAAAGGAACGTGTTCTAATGCAGAAATCCATCCAATCAATTTCTGATTAACTTTGTTAGTAACTGTACAAGCCCTAAAATCTCTCAATTTAAAGATCTGCTGAGGAAAAACAGCTAAAAAATTTAAGTGATCAGCACAGAAAGCAACTCTATGCTAATTGATCCTAAACATCAAGATAGTGCTTTAAAGCAGTATTAGCTTTGTTTATATATAAAATGAACACTATTCATTCTACCCAAAAAAGTAAATGTTATCCACTACTATCTCTATACTACCTTTGGAAGTCAACTCAACTAAATTCAAAGCAGAAGAGGAAAAACCTATAGGTGACTGTTGCAAAATGACTTCTTGAAGTTCTTCCTCAATTACACGCAATAGGTAATTAATTCACATCTTTGAAAGATGAGAAGAAATCCTGTCTGCTTCTTCTAATCCTAACCAGTACAGCATCTTTGCTATAAGCATTATGTATTTACATCCAGAAGAGCTGCTTCAGCTCGAGAGGCCACAGGGGATCACTGATAATCCAGGCATAAAACACACACAGAAAAGCAGAATAAGATTACTTACCATCATCTCCTCCTAGGAAGTTGCAGCAAAGGAGAAAATAAAAATACATGAGCATTAAAATCAAAGCAGTAATCAAATACAAGCTTTACTATAAAAACTGAAGTACAAGAAACCTTATTTACACTACCAAAAATACAGTCTACTTCCCATCCTATTTTTCCTCCTCAAGACAGCCTGAGAATAAACACATAATAACAGAAGTCACTAAGAATTTAAAATCCTAGTACAGCTTCTTGAAAGCCATGTATTAGCTTCAGAAAGACACGAACTTCAGTTCATATTATTCAACAATCTGACCAATGCTCCTTTCTGAAATTCTAATCTGAGATAAGCTACTCTTGCAACTATTTTTATTGTATCTGTCGGCAGTAGTTATTATGAGCAAAAGCTATACTGAGTTTCTAACATCTGGTGATGTTTTCTAACTACCTGTTGGTTAAATTGCATTTCACAAGAGACACACACTGGCATAGCAACACCAATTAACTTTGAACACACAGTTCTGAATTTAAATTGAAAATCTAAAGCTCAAGTCATTATGCGTGTTTGTTTTAAATGAATAACTGAGTCTCCCTAAGTATTCATTTTTTCTTAAAATAATCTTATTTCTACACTTTCAATGAACTAACCATTGTTTACAGAAAATGTACAGCTACATTACAGTATGATGACTATGCACTAAAAGGTTTAAATAAAATTGTCCAGAAAAAGAGACAAGGGAAGAAAACAACTGTTGGATTCATTGAATTTTAACTCCTTCCCAGCCACAAGATAAAATTATTGTGACACTTGCCCACTGAATAGTTTCAGATATCCTTTAATTTTCAGGAGGCTCCCCTGATATTACTAAGCATAGTCATGCACATAAAATCAAGCATATTTATAATCCAACATCACAAACTGTAAATATTGACAATGGATAGTTGCTTCAACACAGGACATTTTAAAAGCAGAGAGCACGCAAAGAAACTAAAGAATATTATTTGTATCATTTGTACTTAAGTCACTATGTTAAAAGAATTGCATTAAAAAAATAAAATAGACAAAACCCACCCCTACTAGGTGCCAGTGGATTTAAAGGACGATAGACAGATCGAGGCCTAGAAAATAAGTTAGAAAATGTAAAATCAGTTCTAAGCTAAATTGAAGTGCAAGTATAAAAGCAGCCTTCCTCTCCCACCCAATTACTTGAAACAGTTTTCTTCATAGATGCTGTTCCACACTCTCCAAGCAGAGGGCCCTTTGTATCCTGTGTAACGCTCTGGATTCAGCAGCAAATCCACGTACTGCGCATCTGGAGATCTCTCATCTAAATAAGAAATGTTTCGTTATGTATTCTGATTGCTTAAAAAAGACTTTAAGAGTCACAAAATTACATACAAATAAAAAGTCTTGTATAATGCTCTTATTTCTCCAGTGGTATTACAAATACCTTGTACATAAAAACAAAGCAATATACACTCTAAACAGAAAGGCAAAGAATATCTCTTTGACAGTCTCTTATGCTGCCATTACTTCTGCAATTTCTTACCATTTCCTATGTGGCTTCTTCAACTTCACTGTGAACACTCTCTGTGCCATGTGCTTTTACACCTTTTGCAAAGATATCGAGAGTTTTATTTTAAGTGGGCTTCAAACTCAGGGCTTAGTTGACCACGGAGTTTGGTGTGAAGAACAGAAAAAAGAGAACTGCTTTTTTAGAAATGGGTACAATGCAAATATGGCTCCTCAGCAAACACAAAGAAGCACATCTTGGCAGTGGAACAATCTTTATTAGCTGCATCACTTTTATTTCCAAGATAACCTTGTACGGTTGCATATAGCACAGACCCTGTTGTTAACTGAACAAGCTTTCTATGTAGCAGAAGCACAGAATACTGCAGCCCTGCTCTAGTGATGAACTGCTGGGATGTACTATTCAAGATATTAGGATACAATTGGATCCTTAATTCCAGTGCTTTTGTTGGAGTTATTTGAATTATAAGTTATTTACTGGATTACAGTTTATTTACAATGTTTTTGATTTGTGGCTGGACTTGATGAACTTTAACATCTTTTTCAACCTGAGCAATTTTATGATTCTATATTCCAGGACAAGCTGTTGGTTATGGAACAAAACATTACTGAAGCAATATTCAACAAGTTATATCCTCATCCCTAAAGCTGACTTCAAATTCAGGCAAAACATTCACATTAAATCACTGTCTGATTCATACTCTGTACAAATAGAAAGTTAAGTTTTATGTTACAACAAGTAGAAAGTGGAAATAATTCCCTCTCCTTTTCCTCTCTGAAATTCTAGGTCAAGAGCAAATGATGCTAAAGAGACCCTTGTACAGTACAGGCCAGTAGTCCATACTTAATCAAAGGAATGGGCCAAGCAGCACAACTGAGCATTTCCTCAGATGTTGAAGAAATGAAGAGTGAAAACTGCTCTAAAAAGAAGTGATCCTGCACAAGCCACTAAGCATCACTTCAGCAGCAGTAGGAAAAACAAAGAAGAGAGACTGACAAGACACACAAGAACAAAGTGAAAGTCAGATGGAGCACAGCAACCAAACCAGTTCCTACACTTCCTGGTCATTTCAGCTCTCCAATTTTTGTTCTCTATCCATTTACAAATGCATCTGAGGGGCAGCACAGCAGAAGGATGGAAAACTGACCTAAGTTGATATGGTATTTTTTCCAGCTGGATCAATTCCCTTATCGAGTTTATCATTGAGCTCAACAAAAAAGCCAGTAAAAAGTAAAACTGAAGATCTAAATTTGAGCTACAGTTAAGTGAATCAAGAGCTTTGACCCTACCAGAAAGAGAGGTGAGGAAGAGGAAAAAACAGTTTCTCCCTTCTCCCTATCACTCCCAGTAAAGTCACTCTCTCATGTTCCTCTGCATCAGCTCAGGAACTCACCTAATAAGCCATTTCAACCCCAACAGTCTGTGAAATAGAAAGGAGACATCAATCTTCCAGGTACTCAAATTGAGATTAGCTCACCATGCAGTGACAGGCATGCCAAAGCCAGAGCAAAAAGAACAGTGGAAGCACACAGCTGGGCACAGGCAGTAATCCCTTTTCAGTAGGGCACAATGTTGGAAAGAGATGGAGGTGGAATCAGGATCTACTTAAGCTAGTATTACTTCTGCAAGAAAATGCTCCTAAATTATACTTTTCCCATCTGAGTCCATTAAAAATAGGAATAGGCAGCTTGAAGATGGACAACAACAACTTATTGCATTGAACAGTTCAGATCTACAGTAATGCTCAGCGAGTACATATTAGAGAAACAGTTCAGACAAAGTTTTCACAGACAAGACACAGCAGCAGCACTGGAAGAAAACAGCAGTTATTAAATACCTAACAGCTGCTACTTTCTCAGGTGACGCCAAATATTAACCTAAAGGTAGATTAAAACATCTTGCACAGAGCCAAGTCTTCCAAGCACGCACAGCTTCGTAAGGTACTTAACGAAAATGATTTTTGCAGCCTTCCTTGAACTTGGCAGTGCTCATGTTTATCTGAAACTCTCCTTTAACCACTAAACGTTATATGCAAAATAGAAGGGCTCACAAATGGAGCAGAGGGAAGACAAACTATCAGCCTAATGTTTAAACAATCAGAAGTCTTTACAAATAAGGGCCAATAGAGATTGTCTGAAACTAGACTACAAGAATGTACCAGCCCAAGCATAAAGAACTGAACAGCAGCAAAAATAATACAGTAGTAAGAAAAAATTAGGTGTAAATAAATTCTGCTGGATACAAGTCTTTTGTGAGAAGCAGCTTTAAAGAAAAAATGCTAAAACCCTCCCATTTGCTTTCTCTTTATTTCTGTAGAAGTCTCCTGTTGAGGTAACAGTGAATACATATTGGGTTGTTTTTGTTTTTTTCTTTAAACAAGGAACATTCAGATGTCTAAACTGCTTTCTTTGCATGTAAGATAACATGAACTGTCACATGTCAACGTAGCACAAAATTAAAACAGTTCCTTGCAGAGTAGCTACAATCTTGTTTTTATGAGACGGTAATAAAGTAATGAGAAAGTAATAAAGCAAACACTGAAGAAGCTTAAGCATTTTACCATCGAGTTCACAAAAATGATCCTGTGAATCATCGTATCTTGCCCAGTCAATGAAAGCCTCCTTACTTTGGTTACTGAGGGGAAGAAAATACATTTGATTTTAAACTTTCAAATAAACAGTGTCAGTAAGAGCTACTCAACAACACAACCCATATACAATAATTCACTTAGATCTTAATTCTGAACTATTATACCTGGCATACTAGAATATAAGGAGTTGGGGCGGAGATACAAGCAAGCACTAATTGTGGTACTTTCTGAAGTCAGTTCAGTGATACACAGCAAGAAAGATTTCACCATCTTAAGCAAACTCTGCACTGGTAGTGACTTTTCTTCCTTCAGTAAAAGAATTCCATACCACACTTTTCAGCACTTTCAGAAGTACTTTGACAGCTGTCACCACAGGAAAGAAAGTCCCTGTATTCCTTAACCTGTGCTTTCAAAGAAATCTACAATACTTAACCTTGCTTTCGCATGGGAGGCTGGATCTCTAAAGGTTTTTCTAAGCTAAATTACTCTATGAATATGACTTGAGTCTTTTAAGTAATAACGTTAACTCTACTCACTCTTGCAATTTCAAAGGTGCACTGTACCAGAGAAACAAGTACTTTGAAGTTCCCATACTACAAAACACAAGTAGTGCTAATAGCTAAATGCTTTCTTCAACGCAGATGTGAGAAAGAGAACTATTTATGTTTTGCTGTCAGTAGCGTGGTATAAGTGAAGATTGGGAACTCCACTCCAGGGTGCAGTAAAATCCCCTAAAATACCAAAAACAACCCATTTCATTTGATCAGAGCAGTACTAGCTTAATTTGACATCTGCAATTCTTAAACAGGATACATTGTTAATCTACCAACAAAGACTACACTTGACATTCAGTAAGCCTTACAAACTTTCCTAATGTACCTCCCCCACTAATTAGTAGCATGCAAGATTTTATAGTCACAATCAATATAGATGGTAATAGAAAACAGCCCCAAACCAAAAGGATTTTGCAATTCTCCCAACTTTTATCAACTTGCAATTTTGCAAAAGCCTCTTTAGCCCTCTGTACATGTGCTAAATTACATTACTTTTTAATCTACAGAGACAGAAGAGTGTTAATGGCTTCTCAGTTCCCTTAACACTTGAGTAAGGCTCTGACCAGATTGCTTTAAAATACTACAGAAAATAAAAATAAAAGGTAACACGCTAAACTATAGTCGCTTTTTATAATGAGCCAGGACAGCATTTTTTAAATCAGGTAGGACTGCTGAAATCTATGGCAACAGACCTCTCTGCTAGTGATAAACTTCCTTTTTGTTTTTCTATTTCTGCTTTTTCAAAGCAGTGAGGCCAGTAGAATGCAAGCTTTCCTAAACTGCTCTGCTCTTTCCTACTCAAGAACAACACCATATTGCAGAATCTGTACCATCCAACCTTGGCTGTGCCATTCAGTAGGCAAGACCAGGGAACTGATCCAAGCAAAAAATAACTTTGCCAACAACAAAAATAATTCACAAGCTCCCTGACCTGGTTCACCAAGTGATCACAAACAGGCACATCATTGTAACAGAGAGACCTGGTCAGAACCCCTTAATTCACCACAGTCATCAAGAAAAAGAAGGCTGATATTGGTAAAAACTGGAAAATAACGTTTTTGTTTGCTTTATCTCCCGTTGCTGTAAGATTTCTTTCAAACAAGTAAGCATACTTAAAAAAAAAAAAACCTAGGAGCATTTTTAAGACAAGGCAAGTACCTACTTCTCACATTATACCTTCAGGTATTTCTGCACCATTTCATATTTACTTTTTAATGGTCTATGGAAAAAATGAAGAACAAAAACCAGCACATTGCAAAACCAAGACAGACAAAAAGAAATGCTGCTCCCTTGCTACTTCATATATATATGTATGTATGTATGTATATTATATGTTATATATACTATTATATAGTATATGTATTATATATGTATATAATTTTTTAATTGCTATAAATCTCAACATACCTTAAGGTACTGTTGACTGCTCCCAGTTTGTTAGCTTGCTCACAGTCTTCCAATTCTTTGGAATTATTTGCAGCTTTTGAATACTGTAAGGAAGGTCATATTTAATATACAAATAAGTTTCCTAAAATTCACTCAAAACGTGACGCGAAACATTTCTAACTCTAGCATTAAACTAGTTAGTATCAGGGAAAAAGCCTTGAATCCTGGAAGTGGCAAGTAGTACTTTGGAATACTTATTTTAATTTTCTTCACTTAATTTTATCAGGTCAATTTTACCCTGTACATTTAACTGCCATAGATTCAGCTAAACATGCCTAAAGGCAGTCATTTGCCACCCACCAGAAACAGTCCAACATCCAGTATTTTCTGAGTAGCAAATACTTCAGAAAGTCTGTCTAGTCCAACTATTTCATGCTGAGCATGGTGTGATACTGCATGGAGTCTTTGGTTTGATCAGATCAGCCAACTCAGCCCCTTGGCCATCCCTAGCCTGCTCACTGCTGGAACAGGGAAGAGGCCAGAATGAAATAAAAGAGGCCTTTCTGCCCTGCAAGCACTGGTCAGCAACAGCTATATTACTGGTATGTTACCCACATAGCTTGAGTCAGGAATCCAAAATACAGTACCATATGTACTGCTATAAAATTAATTATTAGCAGCAAAACCTACTGAACTTCAAAGCAGTGAAAGAGATTAAGAAGTAATTTAGAGGTCACTAGAAGAAAATCCCAAACAACCAATCATTACTCCAGAAAGAACTTCTTGCTCAATTTCTTCAAATTTGCTTGGTGTGGGGGCTTCTCTTCATATCATTCCTACGGATGTTAAATGGAAAAATGCAAACAAGGAATGCATGTCCTAGAATTAAACAGATTCTGCTGATGAAATAAAATATTGAGATGCTGAGGTAAACATTCTACATGTCTAGAGTTGCAAACCTATCCCTACCCTGAAGAGAAAAATATTACTGCCAAGATGATGATCCTGAATGTAAGTTCCCAAACAGAATGAACATTCAAGTCCAAGCCATCCTTCCAGGCTTTGCTGTTCTCCGGTGTTTAACAACAGCTATGCAAGACCATTTATTTGACCTCTGATTAGATCTGGATAAAATACTTGTTTTCGACAAAGCAGGTTCTTGTAAAAAGAAAAGTTTCTGAAAGGAAATAGAAGTGGGCAGAAAGCAAAAACTGAAGTTATGCGCTATAGCCTTGAGGTGCTACATCCTTGCTTCAAAGTTTAATACAGACTGTCATGAGTTCTCCAGTGTTTATGCATTGAGCTCACATGAGCTCATGTGAGCTCAATGTTTAAAAAGGTTTAAGTAGTGGAAGGGCTGCAGGGGTGCCCCTTATGAGCAGAGCCCAGCAGCTGCCCCATTCAGATCAGAGCCAGCTCCAGATGTCTCCAAAAGGGACCTGCAACTGACCAGAGCTGAGTCACGAGTGACACATGGTGCGTAGTACGCCCCTGGGAGAGCAGATTTAAGAAAATAGGGAAAAAGATCTGCACAACAGCAGCTAGGAGAGAAAACTGGGAAAATGCAAGAGTAACGTTCCTGCAGCCACTAAAGTCAGTGCAGGAAGGTAGGAGGTGCCCTAGGCACTGAGTAGAAGTTCTGTGCAGCCCAAGAGAGGCTGACAATGAATGGAGCAGGCTGTCCCCTGCAGCCCATGGGCATCATGCAGAGCAGATCTCCTGAGGACAACCTGTGGAGTAGCCCACAGTGAGCAGGTGGATGTGGCCTGAAGGAAACAGTAAGCCCATGGAGAGCCCCTACAGGAGTAAGCCCCAGACTGGAGCTGCAGCCCACAGAGAAGAGCCCAAAGTGGAGCAGCTCATTCCTGAAGGATGGCACATTGCAGGATGAGACCCATGCTAGAGCAGTTCTTGAAGAACTGCAGCCCATGGGAAGTCTGTGTTAGATCTCTTCATGAAGGACAGCATCCCATAGGAGGAATCTCATGCTGGAACAGGGAAAAGGAGTGAGCAGGAAGGAGTGGTAATGACAATGTATTTACCAACTGCCCCATTCCTCCTTCCCATACACGGATTGAGGTGGAGGAAGTAGAAGCTGGGTGGAAGGAAAGTTTGCTTCTGTTATTCACTGCTTGACTCTATTACTACTGTCAATAACCTAACCTTCCCAAAGTACAGTTTCACCACTAATGGTAATTGGCTGGTGAATGATTTTTTCTGTCCTTATCTAAACTCATGGGTTTCATTTTTTTTTTCCTTAATATTATCTCCTCCAGGCCTTCTGAGGAGAAGGAGCATGACAGCAGCACAGTACTCAACTACCTACCAGTAGTAAGACACATAGTCCAAGACGTTTCCACTACTCCAATCAGGCAAGCTTGCAGAAAGTGAAGCTATTTTTGTGCCTCTCTAGCACCATTTCAATAAGCTTATATTGGTGCCAAGAATTTTAAAGATGCCATCTACTGCTAACTGTGCTTCTCTCTGTGGGAAACTGGCCTTCATGGCTAGATGACCTTCTAAAGGCAAAGCTGTTCTTTGTGCAATTAATCAACAAAAACAAACAAAAAAAGCCTTGAATAAGGCTAGAAGTTTACAAGCTATGCTCAGGTGAGATAAGTAGTAACTTTGGCCAGCTGGGGAGGATGTAGATAAAGATAGGAACAAGTGTGAATTTACACACAGCCATGGCACTCAACAGTAAGAGCTCTCATTTGGGCCCTGTGGATACTTTTACCCAACTGATTGCTAAAACCCTTGTTCTTGGGCACTGTGTTACGGATTTGAGCATGGAGAAGAGTTACTTGTCATCCTGCTCTCACCTCTTTCTAGGCGTATTACACCTTACCTCCCTGGCTTTGCTAAGATCACTTAGTGATCTAAGAAGGTTGGCTCGGACACAAGCAAGCAAAAGCCAACAGCACAAATTGACCACTTAAGTGGTCAATGAACTCAAGATCAGACAAGTCAAAACCACACAACTGTTCTTTCTTTTTTTTTTTTAATATATATAACACACTACTAGGTTGTGTTTATATATGCACTGCTACTCATCTCAGCCTAAGCTTTATAGAAGGTGACCTGTACTCAAGGTACAAAGAACTTTACATCAGGCATTTTGTGGTGGTGTTCCAATGTCTCTGGTCATTCGTGATTCAGTCTGTACCAACTCTCAAGCTATTGAAGTCTCAGAATGATGCAATGCTACCAGCTACATCAGGAGCACTCTAATTCACAGAAGTACAAAGCAGCATACAGGAATTGATGTTAACAACTGCATCACTGCTGAGACTAAAGATCCACAATAAAAAGCCATACATCTACTGTAATGTTAAGATTACAAGTCAGAAGAAGCTTAGAAAATAACTGACTACTTACTTTATTAGAGCTCCCAGCTTTAATTCCAACAGGTATTTTGCTCTAAAAAAAAAAAATTCTTTTTTTTAAACACTACACACAGACATTAATATACTTGATTAAAGTCTAGCAACTAAATATCATTCTACACAGAATGATTAGCTAGCTTCTTTGCTTTCCCAACACATTATATTTAAAAGTGCTACATCTTAGACCTAATTATTTGTACCAGTAATTAAATAACTCTAAGAACTTCAACTACTGATTACATTTTTTCTTTTGAAACAAAGTATTTTTGTCACCTTTTTGTTTAAACTTAAGTTCATTAATAGAAACTAAAATTAAGTGCTCATTCTCCCAGTCCCCTACTCACAAAATTATATCAGAAACCTTCAGATTTAGACTTAGATTAACCTTTGCTTAGCCTAACAGTGTACAGAACATCTTTCCAATATCAAAAGCAAAGAAGTTTTAAACCATTTTTTTTTTTAATTTGATTTTCCTATTCTTCTGCTTTTTAGTACATAAAGGTAAATTTTAGCAGAAGATTAAAACGCAGAAAAATATATTAAATTAGTGGAAGTTAAGGGATTTTTTTTTTTAAAGTTACTTCTGTAACTATCTGTGTAATCAATGAATATATAGATGTTATAATTAAGAAACACACAGGAAAGTAAGGCTAACAGGTAATCACGCTAAAGAAGAATGGATGGAAAGCTTACCCTTGTCCTGGGCTCACTGAGAGAACTCCAAGGGAAATGATCTCCAGAAGAGATCTTTCCCCAATCGCAGTCAGCTCTTAAATGAGGTCCAGGAGAGGTGGAGCCAGGCCCCACCCCTTCCAGTAGCACAGGAGAATTGCCTTCACCTGTGCTCCCAGGGCTGACTCACTGCTTGCCTCAGGTGATCAATCAGAGGTTGAGGCCATGATTCAGCAGTTCCCATACACTATCATACTATTATTTTACATTATATAACCATTTACTAGAGAAAATGATATGGCATAACTAGATATGAGATTTGAAAAAAAAAAAAAAAAAAGTCATTTCAACTTATTGAAGCTAAAAAAGCAAGGTATTACAACAGACTTCATTTTTACTATAGTGGAAAAGTACAATGGATAGACTTAGTGAAATTAAACAAGCTGTTCAGTCAAACAACCTTTCCCTACCATATATTATCTGATGCATACCTCAGGACAAGGCTCGACATGACAGTCTTTGATAGAACAATGGCCATCATCAGCCCAGAATGGGCATGGTCTCTTTAGATTCACCTAAACATACGAAAACAAAAGGTTATAATCAATACTGTTAAGGCAATGTAAAGAAAAAAACCAAAAAACTCCCAGTATCAGGAAATCATTTCAAATTAAATAAGAGGATAAAAAGAAGAGGGTTAAATTTATTACTTCAAAGCATATGGTGTGTATGTGTGTATACACACACGTATGTATTTAAGCAATCTATTAGTACACAAGCTCAAGCTCACTACACACTGAAGTTTCTAATGGTAATAGTCTCAACAGGTTAAAAAAAAATATTATATAGAAGTTCCAATTAAATCTCTCACCATTAATATTACACCAGAACAGTAAATAACTACTAAAAGGAAAAGAAATCAGAGAAATACAGCTATAAAATAGTCATACTTAATCAGTTGTATTAGCACTAACAGATCAAGGAAATACATCTCATGGAAGGCAGCCAGACGTTTACTGGTACAAATTAAGTGTTTGGATGATTTCGGATTTCAAGCAGTAAAAACAGATTCATTACCACACTTCATAATTGTCAAGGAAGAATGAGTATCAAAATACTAACAGTCTCAAATCAAAAAGCTGATGTTGCTTAAGGGTAAATAATGAAGAGAAACCACTTCAGAAACATTACCAGCAAAACTTGTCATGTTTTCTCATCAATGCTCTGATTTTTCAACAAATGGCACAATGAAGTCAGAGCACCACAAGTATTTGTCTCTGCTACGCAACAAGATGCTCAAACACTTGCTACAACATTTCAACTGGATTGTCAGTAGGGAAGTCAGTTAAAGGGGAAAAAAAAAAAAAAAAAAAAAAAAATCAGTATTCTTTTGCATTAGCATTATACAGATCAGTAAGCATAGTGATGGAACACTTCAACATCACCACTCCCACACCAGAGACTACAAGATTTCATGCACCATGAACTACAAACATTGCAGAACTACACCACCTTGGTAAACTAAAATTACAAATAAAATGAAGTAGCTATCACTATTTTTTGGGCAAAAATAAAATGAGCTCTACAACTTTCAAAGTAAAAAAAATAATAATATTGTTTTTGTTTTCCTTCAGCAGAAAATTGTAGGCATTAATGACTATATACTTGAGTTTACAAACGGTATTGCTTACAACATCAAAACTATATGAAAGATGAGGTGGTATTACACACACAGGAAGTATGATCTGCAGAACTGCTGAAATTAAAGTAAGCCCTGCATTTGCAAGATGAAATTACTGTTGCTGAGTTTTATACAGTCTTGTGGATATGTTAGGGCTCATCTTCAAATATTTTGGTTTGTATCTTCCTCTTGCCTTTGGAGAACCTTATTACCACTTCCACTAAGAGATGCTATTTTCACTGAAGTTGCAAATATCTTATTTCCCCTGAAAGCTGTATCACGTAGCAGTAAGAAATTCAAGGTGAAGCTACACTTTATTACTTACTCCGATTACAAAGGGAAGATCCTAGAACTTCTCCTTTCCTCACGCTCATAACCCCATCTTACATTCAACTCCTGCCTGATTCTACATCAACAACTTGCTACATACTGAAAAACAAGCAGACAAAATAACATTCTGAAGAATCTACCAGGTTAAAGAGAACCACTGGTGTAACACACTGTAGGACAAGGCCAAGATCCAAAAGCAAAGAAGGAGCAGGGATGGCCTAGCCAGGGCTAAAGGACTGGAACCCCCTTATGCCAGCAGTTGGTAACCATGTGATTAGCTCAGTAAAATAATCTAACTTCATTTTTAAGCTCAGCAAACCAGAAACTAAGAGTATCACTCTTCAAAATCTTATGCTGCTCATCCAGTTTTAACAGTGACCAAAACCAGTGCTTAAAGACATAGGAGAGTGCTACCACTCTACTTGAAAATTAATATTTGTAGGTTTTTTTTTTTCCAAAGAAATAAAGTCTTCCCAGCTGGCAAACACTAAAATCACAAGTAGGATGGCAGCTGATTAAGAAAAGGAAATCGTTGCAATGTTTCAACTTTAAATTACCCACATTACTTAGAAGACAAGTGCTGTACAATGCTAACAAACAATCCTCTTTCACACGCAGCAGCACAAAGATATTATCTTCAAAAATACCACTTATTGACTGAATGAAAGAAGTCATCATCTACTGTCACTGACTCCAGGAGTAATACAGCTGACACCTAAGACCTCTTACAAGCATAGCTGACAACCTGCTACAACCAAATTAAAGATCTGTGGGTTTCTAAAAGACAACACAATACAACTAATCTGGACCTGTAGTCCTCCCTGTATTTTACAGATTTTATTCAAATTGTTCAGGAAAAAAGTTCATTCTAATCATACCTTGTAATATCTGAAGTAATCACGTTCTTGTAGTTTCTGTATTTTGGGGAAGATCTTGAAAGTGTTGAAGTCATCAATGCTTTCTATGTCACACAAACAATCATCCAGGACACCTGTGAGCTATTAAAAGAACACATGTGATTGATTTTTTAATCAAGAAATGTTAACTACAGAAAAACAACTAAAAATATGGCAGTCAAAACATACTAGTGAAATGCAGTTCCACAGCAAATACTCTCTCATTATTGAAACAGTATATAACATTTCACAGTTTTGAGTGAAATAACAAATCACTTTTTAGTTTAAGCCCACTTCCAAATGCAAAGCTGAATCAATGTCTGTCAGACTTTTTCAGAACTGAAATTCATTCTTAGTTTCAACACATAGAACCTTCTATGTAATGAGCAAGCTATGAATGCACATTATATTAGCACATCAGAACCTCATATCAAATATTTTCCTCTTAAACATTTATTCATTGGATTTCCTGAAAAAAATAAAAATAAAAAAATAACAACAGTGTATAATTAGCTTTTAAGTACAAAAAATATTCAGTTTCTTTAACGGTATGGGTAAAGAGGGGAGAGAATAAGTACTTTTGTGCCCAAGAAGTTAGTAACCTCAACTAAATTGTACAAATATTAGGAAAACCAGGTACAGTCACCTACACTGTATGGCTGTAAACCTATAGTGAAATTAAACCTCAATTTCCCAGGACACATCACTCTTCTTGTGCTAGAACAGGAAGGTGCTGAATTAGCCTAAGACTGTCTTTGTGGTAAGAGCTGCACACAGTGCAGAGTCAGCACTGCCAGCACAGGGCAGATAATCTACAAAGTTGTTTGGCTTTAAGCTACCGCAACAATTTTCCTAAGACACCAACAGTGTCCTAACCAAAAGACAAACAGTGAAAATGTGATTCTATGTATATTTGTATAACAAGCTTCCTTATATCCAAACCAAATACTTCTAAGCACAGCTTCTCAAACAAATATAAACATTCTTGAAAAGACTTTCAAACTTATGTTTGAAGGCTTCAGTGTATAAATAAACAAATGGAATCAAGCACTGCTAACTACAATTCAGCCATACATGGAATTCATTAACATAAATGATAGCTTACAAAGGAACTAAAACAGGTAAGCCTGGCACATTTCGTATTTTACATGGGCTTAGACCATCTGACTAAGAAAAGGTTACATATAGAAGGAGAATTTTTTTCTCCATAGATTTCACAACTAAGTTATGAAAGCATCCATTTCATGCATGGTAAATCACTCTGCTACTCTATAACAAAGATGCTGTTATATAACCAAGCTTAATAGAAGAAAAGTGTCTAGAAACTACGTTGCATGCTTCTGCTCTTATGATGCATAAAGAAAGCCTGGAAAGTGGATTCCCCACCACGCAGAGACACTGAAGTAATGCTATGGCAATAAAGCATTTTAGTAGGTAATTCACCTTCTGCACTCTTACTTCCTGACACACTAAACAGACTGTCACAGTTCTGCAGAATTTGTAGAACCACACAACGGCTTGGGTTGGAGAGGGCCTTAAAGCCCATCCAACTCCCCACGGTGGGCAGGGCTGCCACCCAGCAACCCAGCTGCCCAGGGCCCCATCCAACCCAGCCTTGGGCACCTCAGGGATGCGGCACCACTTCTCCGGGCAGCTGTGCCAGGACCTCACCACATCATGAGTAAATAATTTCTTCCTGATGTCTAATCTAGATCTTCCCTCTTTCAGTCTAAAGCAATTCCCCCTCACCCTATCACTAACAGGCCACGTAAAAAATCAGTCTCCTCCTTGTTTACATGCTCCCTTCAGGTACTGGAAGGCCACAGCTAAGTCTCCGCAGAGCCTTCTCTTCTCCACGCTGAAGAAGCAGAGCCTCCTCACCTGTTTTCAAAGGAGTGCTCCGGCCCTCTGGTCACCGCTTACAGTGTTGTAGCAACAGTCATTTAAAAGAAGCAACTTCACCCAAAATCTTATTCTCACCTTCCTTAACATTATTGAATTTCAAGCCTGGGCAAACAGATTGGAAAGACTACGTTCACTCACATGATTTTCAAAAAACCTCACAGCCCACATGACTACTGACTAGGAAGGCAAAAACTATTATTGATCCTTATAGAAATCAAACCTCCATGTATTTCAATTTACAATTGCATTACAGAAACATTTGTCATATTGGTCACACACGCATAAAATAGATGTGCTATCTTTACACATCCTTACTACAAAACAAACAGCAGTGCACTTTACTAGAGTAAAAAAGCCAAAGACAACTGAACACTTTACTCAAACATGATACAACTATACTAACAGGAAACATGGAGAACAATCCATGATGAAAGCAGAGTGAGGATAAGCTGAGAAATTTTCTTTCGACTTGAAAGATGTAGAGCAGGAAATTATTTTGGTGACCACCTCTCACTGCTTCATTGCTTACGAAAATATTTATATCATCCATGCAAAACTCAGTGTTTTTTCAGGTGCAAGTGTTCCAAATAAAGCCGTGGCCTTATAGACAGTGTCAAACACAAACGGAAATAAAAGCCACAGTCCTTTTATTTAAGTAAGATGGCAATCTAAGTGAAGTTACGCCTTTGCCAGATACCTCTGATAACATTTTGATTCTAAGAACACCTTTTAAAACGCAGCAGGTTACTCAGAAGATTATGAAGTGCCACAAATAATCAGGTCCCTCATCTAGAACAGTTCCAAGAAATTCTTCAGAGAAAAATTAATTCAAAGTACCGAGAAAAAGCAAGTGAAACTCTCAGTTTCTCATAACTTTTAACTGTAACTGTTGGCTTCCTGCATACATAAAACAGGAAAATCAGTGTTTCCTTGGAAGGAGTGCTCTAAAATTAAACTATGCTACATTTGTAGCAAAACAGAATTTATAAAGTCATTTGACAGCACGTGTGAAAAGCCAACACTACACATCAGTGGAGTCAGTTCATTTGCATGCTAACACAGCAGCAACACAGACTTCAATTGCCCCAGTCTGGGCTTTTTTATTAGCACAGCTGTACTTGCTTAATGACAGAACACTAAGGAAATGTAGAAAATGGTTTCATTCCTCTTAGCACCTGTATTTCCCAGCGAGCTCTTGTTCAAAGTGAAGATATGGAAATAAGAGCAACATATTACACAGTTAAACCTACATAAGGTACAGCCTACTCCACTATTCACACAGCTGGCATTTTGCCTTTTTAAACTATGCTATACCAGTTAACTTGCCCCACAAAAACACAGCAAAACCGAGGTCAGTTAAGTTACCACAGTGTTTATTACAATGGCTAAGCATCAAGCTTACATTTAAACTGTAATTGTTGATTACTTTGAACTCTGTGATAAACTCTAGAAGTGGTAGCTTAATAGAATATGTGAGAGAAGTCAGACAGATGGGATTCTATTCCTTTCTTTCCAACGCTCTTATCAAAGTATTTCCACACATTGTTAAAGCTATTTTAGTTTTTGTAGAGATATCAGAGCTGCATTGGAAATGTCAAGTTTATCCAAGATAAATCAGCCTTTCACAAGAAAAGGTCAATGTCCAACCTGGCATCAATTTTGCCTTAAGAAATCTGTAAAGCAAGTAGTATTTGGCACATCAACACAATGGAACAAACGAACAAATGCAAATACTAACAAGCAGCATTTTCCTACAAATAACCTTATTAGCGTTATCAGGTTGCTGTACTTTAATTGCTTCAACAAACAGAAGCCCACTTGGGACACTCTGTTTTCTTTCTTAATATTTTATTTGCCATAGCTACAGAGCAAGAGAAAGGCTATGGGTAACATGACTCCAAGAGCTAATGGCTGGCTTATCTTTCCTGGTGCAAGTCAAACTCTTGCTGTTTAAACTGAGTACAATAAGCTAACAGTTCTGCAAAATAACAAAAGCTAATCTCTCTGCCAAGTACAATAAAGTCATGACATTTTGTTAATGCCTTCATTAAGAATCACAATTACATTAGTATCTAGTCACACTAAGATAAGTACTAAATAAAGGCTTCATTTTAATCTCAGAAAACATCAACGCGCAAAAAGCAGAAAAACAGAGGGGGGCAGTGAGGTTGGGGACAGGTTCTGCATCAGAGGGCTGTGGGCATAGAACAGGCTGCCGGGGGCAGTGGGCACAGCCCCGAGTGCTGGAGTTCAGGGAACATTCTTACATCCCGCTCTGACACATGGTCTGATTTTCTGGGTGCTGTGAGGAGCCAGAAATTGGATTAGACGATCTTATAGGTCTCTTTCAACTCAGAATATTCTATGATTCTGCACACAGAAAAACTGCAGTCAAAGCTAGACTAGTCAAAGCTAGACTAGTCACTGCCTGGGGTGGCCACTCACAATACAGCACATCACACAAAAATTTAGAAAGTAATAACAATAATAATCAAGGACAGAAGAGACACGCTGCTCCACGCGCTCACTACTCGCAGGAGCTCCATACGAGCACAGGGCAATACGTTTGGCCAAGCTGATGCCCTCCGCTACTCGACACCAGCTGTTACTCAGCCGCAACCGCACCGATGAACGACGGAACTCCGCGCAACAACGCCGACCTTTCGGCACGCAGCTTACAGAGAGAGGGGACGCTCATCCTCCCGCGGGCTGACACAAATACAAACCGAGCGCGGGCACCGACACGCCACACGGCCGCTCACCGACTCCACCAGCACTCCCGCGTTGTCGCCCCACTGCTACGGGCTCTGCACATCGCCCACGGCCGCGGCGAGCTCCGCGCCCAGCGGACCGTTACACGCGAGTGCCGCTGCCGGGCCCCGGAGCGACCGCCTGAGAGCGGCCCCACGCTCCAGAGGCGCCCGCCGCCGGGCCCGGGCTGCAGCACGGCGCCGGCTAGGAGGACGCGGGCTACGGATTGAGGCCCGGCTTTTGCAGCCCGCCGGCCATCAGCCGGCACCGCGTCCCCGCTCCGCTCTCCGCTCCCGCCGCATCTCCCCACCTGGGCTTCCGCGGCCAGGATAGAGCCCAGGACCGCCAACAGCCGCGTCGCCCACCGTGCCGGCGCCACTGTGCTCCGGCCGCCGCCGCCGCTCATGCTGCTCCGGCCGCTCCGCCCGCCGCGGCTGACGGGGGAGGGCAGCCCCGCTCTCCACTGCCACAGGAAGCGGGCGGGCGGGCGGGCGGGCGAAACGAAGGCCGGCCGCAACAATTCCTCCCGGCGCGGCCGGCGGGGGCGCCGCGCTCCCCCCTCAGCCCGCCCGCGCTGCCGACACCACAGCCCCGGCTAGCGCACGCACCAACCCCCACGCCTCAATAGCCGCCGCAGCCCGCCGCGCGGCATGCCGGGGGCTGTAGTCTATCCCGCCCCTCGGCGGCTGGGCTGGGCGAGGACTTGGGAAGGCGCCCAATAGGAGAGGACCACGCGGGCTTCCAAAACAAGTGGTGAGCAAAGGGCTGCTGTGCGCTTGCGCTAGGCGGGAGGTGGCGGTGAGGGGAAGCTCAGAAGCGGTTTTTGTCTTTCGGTCTCGTATCCCGTTCTCCCTTAGTTTCCGGGTTCCCCCCTCCACGCGCCTGAGCTGGCAGCCCAAAGCTGCACGCTGCCTAAGCTACCTGAGCCACCTCGTTTATTTTCCTGGGTAGCGCTCTACACAGCAGCCAGCCGAGCTGACTCACCTCACGGCTGCCCCAGCGCTCCTGCTGATCCAGGGGTCGAGGCACGTACCCTCAGAGGAAGGAGAGAGTGTAGGGCCACCCCCGGTCCAATTACTGCTACATCCTCTTAGAAATATCTAATTCCATTTTACTGTTTGTTGAAGTTTTACTGGTCCTTCGGGGCAGATCTGTTGGCAGCCCAGAGGTTGAAAGTTTTACGTGAATTGCATTTCTAAAGCTTTGCTTTGTCAATCAGTAGGACTAGTCTGAGACACATTGCCGCTGCTGCTTTTCGGCTCCTTTTGAAATGCTTAAAAAAAACCTTAGAAACAGGGTTGTGTTCCTAGCAGTTAAGTCCATGGCTGTAATTCACTTCCAGACTTTTGCAAAAGTTGGTATTTTAGTGGGAAACTGTGAGTGTTGCTGGAATTTGGATTCTGCTTTCCATCCATGCCCAGATTGTTTTCATATTCTCTCTGTTAAAGGAGAACGCTCGTTTTCTGGACTATGGAGATGAACATTAAGATCAGGGAACTGTTTCTGTGAGCTTAGAAGTTTTTTTAAACTGGCCATGGCCGTGTCCTTACTTGCCAATATGCCACATATTTTTGCATTTTTGAAAATGACTTGAAGGAAGGATAGCTATGAATCACGGAGACTCTGAAATGAATAGAATCATAGAATATGTTTTAGTGATTGGCGACCCTGCACGTAACAGTGGGGTTGAAACTAGGTGACCACTGTGGTCCTTTTCAACCCAGGCCATTCTGTGATTCTGTGATAATCCTGTGGTGGAAGGGGTCCATGAAGGTCATTGAGCCTAACTCCTGGCTCCACGCAGCACCACCCAGAATCAAACTCTATGTCTGAAGACAATGTCCAAATGTTAATTGAACTCTAGCTGACTGGGGCCATGCCTACTGCCCTGGTCAGCCTGTTCCAGGGCCTGAGGGCAGTAGTTTCATAGGTTGTAGTAGGAGACAGAAGTTGTATAGTTTGCTCTCTGAAAGAAGATGTCTGCGCTTTCCTTTTCTCTCTGTAGTAAGGGCCTTAGGCATATCATTTGGGAAGGATTAAATTAGAATTTATGCCTACTTCCAGCAACAATGGACCAATATGTTTGCTAGGTATTTGAGAATAAAAGGCAGAAGAGCTAATGGTAATGTTTACCTTGCTGTGGCTGGCTCACACTGTTGCTACTGCATAGGCAGTAAGGCATTAGTTCTGTTTGGCAAATCTGGATGAATTCACTGTATTTGTTTTCATTTTGTAGGTTTAATTTTGGAGCACGTTTTAATAATAATTAAAAACAAACAAAACACCTTAGAAATACCAATTGTCAGCACTGTGACATGCATACACTTTGTATAGGACTATACAGATTAGATGTAAACTATCTCTATTTTCATAGTGTTCATTCAGTTGTTACTTAAAATATTTACATGAGTTACAGAAAGTGCTTGTTTCTTCAGCTCCAGCAGTCTAATCTTGCTTCTAGTGAAAGTAACAGTTTGGCTTTGATTCTAGTATTAGCAGCATAAGGCATTGTCTGTAGATGTTTATAAATAATAATTCTAAGAGGCAAAAAAATTATTTATATTCATAAGTATTTACTAGAGCTGAATTATGATTGACACAGTTTTCTACACTCTAGAGCATATCCAATCTTATTTCATTTTATTTTTTAGTGTTGATTTCAACATTTGGATGTTACTTTGGTAGAGAAATTAAATGTGAAAAAAAAAATCCCAACATAGATGAGTAATTATTTTCAGAAAATAGCTGTAAGAGAAACAGAACTATGATCCCAAACAAAACCTACCAGCATGTTACAAAACGAGGAGTGTTTACTAATTGTGTTTCTTTTAAAGAAATTTGCTGTGAGGTTATAATGTTTTTGCAGGGACTGAGAACAAGTCTTTGCTGGGTAGAGCATTAAGCAAGTTCTCTATCCAGATGGTTACTGCATGCTGGGTTCATGAAAAGAATCTGGCAGGTATTATTTTTCAACTGCTTTAAAAAGCGTCACTTAGCATACAAACAAGAATCTTCCAAGATTTCACAACACACATTGCTGTTAAAAATGTTGATGGTTTTCTTTGCATACTGTGATAAAGAGTTAAATAATGCACATCAGAACCACCGCTGTCCCATCGTAACGTAGTTGTTGCCTAGAGTAGAGAGAGATTGGGATGCACAGGGAGCAGCAGATGGCCTTATAGTGGTCTAGGGAACTGCTGAATCCCGGCCTGAATCACTGATTGAGCACCTGGGGAAAGAACCTGGTCAGCCCTGGGAGCACAGGTGAAGGCAATTCAGCTGTGTGACCAGAGGGGTGGAGCCTGGCTGCACCTCTCTCAGACCTCATTTAAGGGCTGACTGCCACTAGGAAGGATCTCTTTCTGGAGATTTTTCTTTGGTGAAGCTTTTCCCTGTGAACCTGGAATCTACTGATAAGGGTGAGTAATCTTCCCTTTTCTTATAGTACCTCTGTTGTGCTTCTCCTTTTGTCACTGCACCTTTGTTGCATGATACCTTTCCTGTTGTATTGATCTGCATAGTTGCTACGTGTGGATACAACAGCTGTGCAGTTATGCAGGCTCTCTGGCCAAACTTGCTTTTAGCTCGTGGGAAGGTCACAGAAGGAACTGAAATTGATTAAGTCCTGCCACTTTTCTATTGCTGGTTCAATTGTTGTCTTTTGGTCAGCTCTTATTTGTTTCAGCTGAGATCATGTGCTGTAGTTGTACAAAAAAATCATGTGTTGTGATCTCTTATGTAAAAATGTATCTTAGAAATGATTACAGAATCAATTGAATTGAGTAAACAGGCAAAATGGGGCAGATTCACATCTTGTGTTATGAGAAGCAGAGTAAATCACAGCTGCTTTGCTAAGTTCATGAGCTAGATTTCAGTAACCTGAGATGTGGATTTCTGGAAACTTTTTGCCCTTGAAATTTTGCCTTATTTGTTTTTCTGAATTAACACTTGAGTGACTGATTTCTAAAATTAGCAGAGTAAATGAGGAATCAGTATGTCACAAATTCTTCTTCATGCCTGGCAAACAGTAAATGTGAGAGCACAGCCTGTTGGGCAATGGAGTATCTTGCAGTAGCTTAATTGTGAATATTTGAAGATGTAGAGAGGTAACAACCTTCGGTGAATCACCTGATGTATGTAGAAAAAGCAGGCAATGTGGGATGTGCGAGTTCTCTGGCCTGTTAGGCCCACTGTATCTAAAGAACTGGTACATTCCAAACCCTGGGTTTTGTGTGTTTTTTTCTCCAAACTGCATCATTAGACTTGCAGCAAGTTTTTTATATTTCCTTGTAAGTCATACTTGCCTGCTAGTCTGCTCTCAACTGTTGAAGCCTGCTATGAATTACTTTGAAAAGTACCCAAAGTTATCAAGCTAAATGAGAGTAATGTGAAGACTATGGACTAAATGAAATAAGCAGCAGGTCAAATTTGATACAGTAATGAAAAGGGAAATTTCATACATGAAATTTTGCATACAGCAGTGTCTTTGCAATTAGTATATTAAAAAATGAAAATGGAGTTCAGTAAAAATAAAGAACTGCAAAGTACAAAGAGAACAATTTGTAAAAAAAAAAAATTTTGTAGGTGATAGGAAAACTAACTACATATCTTAGCTGCACACTTGTATCCTGATTGTTTTAGACTACCTGTGTAGGGTATGACTGCAACACTTCAGTCAAGAATGCAGAAGAACTCTTTGATGTCTTACTGTCATCCTTGTAGCACCTATCCTATTTTGGAGAAGGAACATAACAAAGAAATGAGTATAGTGACTGCCAGTCTTCTGAATATAGCAGGTGAGCACAGACATAGGTAATCTGGTTTCATAGATAATCTGGTTTCATAACCAAACTCCAGGATTTATGCACCTGCCCTCTGTGTGCGTGTGCTTATTGGCCAGTAAATCTGATGGTGAGGTAGAGGTCTCAAATTATTATATGTTTCACCGAAAACAAGCAGCCAGGCAGGGAGAACCTGCTAATGCCCTTCACAGGGATAAGTTACAGCCTGAGACCAGCCATATAGTGGTCAGGGTCAATATGCTGATCTAGAGAAAATGAAGTTTCACTGTTTGTGTGGCTTGTGTTTGACTTGGACACTGCACAACCCCTGGAGTGGTGAAAACACTCCCATATCATGTCAGACTAAAGGCAAACAGGTTAGCCACAGGCTTCACATAAGATGGCCTGTTTACGTGTCATTTTCTTTATATAGTGTTGTTTCAAATGTCTAAATCGCAACATTTTTGTGCAACTGTAGAAGAACAAACCAGTGTAATAATTGGCAGAGAAAGTAATTTTAGCTTTTTAGCTACTGGTTAATGATTCCTACTCCTAAGCAGTCGCAGAGTTTTAAGGAACTGGTCTAGCAACATATTGAAGCTTCTGACAGCTGTGATCTACA